GTTGCCAAAAATACTTAGAGTTCAGCTCCACTCGGCTTGTGTAAATCTAAAGAGGATAATTGTTTTTCCTGTGGATCCACACATTTTTGAAATAAAATCACGTTTTAATCTTCCAAATTTCCTTCAATTTTGCCAACAAATATGTATATTTTCAGCTTTCGACCCGACCACAGGCTTTGGAAACTATAAAGTTTCGATTGGACGGACTAATTAATTGGAGGCCAAGAGTGTTTTAGGCCGTAAAGGGAAAAACTTGCCACACAGCATATGACTTTTTAATATTCTCTTGCTCCATCGGGCTCTGCGGAATGGTTTAAATCGTCAAAGTGGCAAAACTATAAATCCCCGGGACGAGTGGGGAGAAGGCGAGGTGACAGTGTGGTCGGTGTCATGGCCAAACTGCCTGTCAGCCAGCCGCAGTGCATCATTAACAGCCCTGAGCTGGGTAATAATGCCGACAACAGATGTGGCCATCGCTCAGTACCTCCATCTGAGACCCGAGCAGGACTCTGGAGCGGCAATCAAATTTGGCGAAACTAACGAACTGTAAATTCACTTCACAGAGGGAACTTTAGTCGCAGTTCACCGGGAGAATACGGTGATGAAGTGAAATTACTTTTGGCAAATGCTGGCAAGTCTGCAAAATACTTTCAATAAAATGCACTCTCTATTGTGGAATCGAACACTTAAACTTTACGATATCCTTGTCCCAAAAATCTTGCTCTGATGAGCATGTAATTAATAGCAGTTTAGAATTTCATTTAAATTGAAATTTGTTGGCTTTTGGGGCAAGAAAAATCATACTTTCCTTTCATGCCCTTGCAGGGTACTAAAAAGTCATATTTGAAAGCCAGTTTGGGCGCTTTGGTTATAGTTTGCCATGCTGATATGCGGTTGGCACAGTGGGAACTGCCAGCAACCGCACGGACGAGCTGACACAACTGACACACAAGCCGCTAAGCTGGGAACAGTCACACCCAGAAGTACACGGCAGAAAAGGGAGAGGTTGTGGGAGCGCTAGAAAATGCACTTTGTGTAAACTTTGCCAGTTGATTGCGCCTAAGGATGCACCAAATTTTTCTTTCAAATACTGGCTCTGTCAGAGAAAAACTTGGTATTATCCCCGTTCCAGTAACCATCCTGCAGAACAGTGGGTTAGTGCCCGGAAAAGTTTCGCCAAAGTTTACATAAAGAGCCCCTCTTGGCCCTAGCCTGCAAATAGAATTAATTACAAATTTCTGCCTTTGTTTCGCTTTTTATCCAATATATTTTCTCCTTTTTAAGTCCTTCAAGTCGCCAACTATGTTGGGTGTAATTACGTGGCAGTTACCGGATATTTAGGGGAGCTAGCGAACCCATATAGCACTAATTGAACAAAAGGAAGCCAGGAGCTAAGCCAACCTGGGATCTGGCACTTTCGAGTGCCAGTTTGAGCTCCACTTAATTGCACGAACAATTAAATCAGGAAACACACAGACACATCAGCTGGCTGTCTGGTCTGTCATATGCAGCATTTCACACACGAGCTCGGTGTCGTAGAACAATTGTTCACCCACATACCCACATTGGTGCTGCGATAAAAATGTGTGTTAGACATTGCCTTCCAAGAGAGTTGTTTGTGAGATTTTTACTTCCTGTTAACCCTCCTTGCGGGCTCAAGATGTGGAATACTCATGGCAAAGGCACATTTGATTGCAAAACAACTTTGGGACATGTATCTTAATCCTTGAAAACCCCATTTCAAGAGGAAAACTAAATAAGTTGTAAGCTTAATTTAATTTTATTATGGAAACTTTTAGAAATTCAATTACAAATAACATTTTTCAAGTGATTTTTCATTAGTTTAAATAATTTAATTCAAGATTTGTATGGTTTTATATTTCATTTGCATATTTTTGAGAGCTTGAAAGGGTCTGCAGAAGAGTGTGCTGCATTCAGACCGTAATGCTCTTACTTAGACATTCCAGTTCCTGTTTGTTGTTTTCATTTATAGTCATTGCCCGAAGCTCTCCTCCCACACACACACGCAGGCACCATGACACGCTTACGCACATTGGAGGAACAAACATACCAGAAGGAGCCGCAGGCATGTCGCATATTGAGTGCGTCCCACCCGGCGTATGAGCAATGTAATAAACAGGCAACAACAGATGGGGCGCCTGCGAGGGGGAAATAGCCGAGAATTATCTGTTTTTATTTATTAATTTCAATAAGAGCAATGCTTAAAGAATTGATTTTATTCCATTGCATTTACTGTTTGCCTTCTGCCTCCTGTTGAGACCAACTGGGCGGCCAGGACCAGAGACGCAATAGCGTGCGGCTTTGTCCCTTAAGCCAGTCATTGTACTTTTTCCGGTCGTGTCCTTGTCCAGAGCAATCAACATTGGCATTCTTCGGCTTGCTCGATGGCATTCCCGCAGCACTCTTTTTCCTTCCTTCCTTTCTTTGTCACCAGTAGCCAGGCAGCCATTTCCATTTGCCGGAAAGTGCCAGAGCGGAGCTGGACAGCCGGAGAGAGATCGGCAGGACGGGAGAAGCATGCTTAACATTTTAACCATGCAACTTCATTTGACTCATTTGCGCTTTATTGACAATTTATATGGATTGCCGAGCTGCGCTGAAAGCCTGCAACGTCAGTAAAATGTTGATGTAAAAGTCCTCGCTGAATTAAAAGATGGGCAAAGTGGCTGGCAGAAATGAATAGGAATTTAATTTCAATTTCAAAGGGACGACGAATGCAGACTCTTGCACGGGTAAATCGATAGCAACGAGGGAGTCAAAGCCGACTTAAGTCGCCCTTTCAATGCCTAGCCTATGGCAGTATCAATAAGCCACCACGACTTCAACGGAATCAGGCGGGAGTCAAACTAATAGATTTCCGTTTGATTGCGTTGCCCGTTAGCTGCTTATCTTGTCAGCCATCTATCAAACCATCAATTCGACAGACAGCCTAAACAGGAAATTGCAGGAGCGACTGGCATTGAGCTCGATGCGTGGCAGGAAGAATCTAATTTATGGCCACCGCACAGACCGACAGAGTGCCACAATTGGTTATGCACAAAGCGATCCTGTTATGGGTCCTAGTTCCACTCTCCCATTCATTCCCAGTTGGTTTAACACAAAAATTGCTGGCACAACACACTCGGATGTATGGCAAACAATTATGAAAAAGTAAACCATGGCCCGCACACAAAGGATATGCACAGAGCGGGGATAAAGTGATGGGCAACAAGTGCATTTCATTCTCACCCATCTACCGAAAATTCGGTCTCATCCCAGTGATTTATGAAGTTCAAGTCGTAGATGGACGATGGGAAAAAGGGCGAAGCGACAAAAAAAGAATGGACACAGATGGGAAGGGAGATAAAACTGAAATATGAAGGCAGGCGACCCCCGTAGCACTACTACGACGAGCATTTTATGCGCACCACGCTGCGTATGCGTATTATCCGGCCGCTTCATGTATGCGTTTGCAATCTAAGCTAAGGCAGGACAGGAGGCATTACAGGATGGGCTACAGGAATGGAGTATAGGGCAGCGGACGACTGCATCTCGCCATAGTTGAAATTCAAATTGGATTTGCGAATGTAATGGACAACGAACAAATATATGCAGTCCGGTGAGAGTACAGAAAACGAGAGGCTGGAGCTTTTAGCTCAAACACATCCCGGTTCCCCAGACAGGACAACGTACTCTATGACACCCCAATGTTGATTATGAATTATTATTTACATGTGTCTAAGGAGGTTTTTCGAATTTTTTCAATGCGACAATGAGATAGGCAGAAGAAGGTAATGGCAACAGAGATAAAAGTCATAGTAGTAGAATTTTAAAACAGGGAAGATAAAGTCATAGTAATAGAAGTATAAAACAGCGAAGAAAATGTTCTAGGACAACAAAAAATCATTCAGTAAAAACATTTATAGAATGCTATGATAACTAAAGGATATATCCTATAGCATTGTAAGAGATACTGCTAATAGTATGTTTACAGGAATTACTATGACAGTTTGACTATAAGGAATTATAAAGACAATAATAAACACTATATATATAAAAAAAAAGGAAGTCAAAGTTTGAATACCCTTGCGGTTTGCAATAGGATTAAAAGACCGATTTTTTTTTTTAAATAACATAACTATTCTAAAAATACATTGATTTTAAATTGGAAAACAGTTTTGTGTTAGTTTTAATTAGGTTAACAAATCTGCATACTGAATTTAATATTTTGGGAAAATTAAAATTTTTCAAATTTGTGACAATTCTGACGATGTAACCCCTTATCAATTTTTGAAAAAATTACAAAAAAAAAAATCCCTCCGCACATGTCTAAAAAGACTCGCCTGTTAATTCTGATTAGGAAAACATATGGTTTATAGGGTCGGAAATGACTTCTTTACTACGTTGCAAGCTTCTAACTAAAATTTTAGTACCCTGCAAGGATATAAAAATATAGGAGATTAAATGTTACCTACTTGATTTATTCACTTGTTTTTTAAGTATTTATAAAGTTTAAATTTAAGAGCATTTAAATTTATACAGAAGAAACTTTACATAAAAATTTCACACATTAAATTCCTACTTTCTTAACAATAGCGATAAATTGAAACACACTTTCCTTTATTTCTTTTCTGTTTCCAATTTAAATGCAGTTCGCTATTTCACACTTTTACTCTACACTGAGAAACCTTCCCACTGTGAGATATTTATATCATGTAGGAATATGAAAATTTTAAAATAAATTTAATATTTTTATTAAATATCTTAAAGAATGCCAAGAGATCTGTAGAGTTTCTACACCGTTGAGTAGTAATTTTCCTGCCGATTTCCAAGTTTCTTCCATATTTTGGCTCTGCCGCATCTCTGCCGCAGCAACCACTACTGCGTGCCAGCGTCGCTGCCGCTGCCCAACGCTGCTGCCTCCGCCGCTTCGGAATCAGTTCGGGTCTCGACCGCCTCCGTTCGGTTTCGGATTTTCAGTTCGGTTTGCGAGGCGAGCGTGTGCGAAGCGCTCAGAAAACTGCGCACGAAAGACGACGGAAACGGCAACTTCTGACTCGAGAACGCGCGTTTTCCAAATTCGCAGATTCGAGTGCCTGAGATGCGACAACGGCTGCTGATTTTTTCGAGTGCATAAATATATCCTACATTGGTACGCCCGCTCAGTGATATCGGCTTATCAAGGGCGGCGGCCAAAGCAGTAGGCAACAACCCCGACGCGATAAGATAAAAAGCGCATAATTAAATGTAAATAAATGGGATCTCGAGAAATGTGCAGCGAGAGAAGCAAAAGCAAACTATAAATAAACCGTTGAGAAAAAGTGAAACTGAAATTGAAAATTGTGGGCGACGGACTGATAAAACAGCCGCCGGCAAGCCAAGTGAACTCAACTGAAGTGCTTAACCCATGTCCGCAATTAACACTCCAGCTCTCGATATTAGTGTTAATCACTGGAAGAAAAATATTCAGAAAACCTTCCGGGCCAGCGAACCGCACTAGCTCAGTCCCTTGATTTGTTTTCCCAATATTTATGGAATTTGCATACATTTGTTTGTCATTGCCGATTGTTTACAATTTCAGTTTACTGTGCAAGCAAATAATTTGATTTATGGCACAAGCTCGCCAATGTTAGGCCGAATGCGAAACACTAAATATTGAAATGATTTATCCACGTCTAAATCGATTATTAAACGACTAAATGAATGGAGTTTCAGTATCTCAATCATATTTAACTGACACTTGTTACGGTTTTGGCAGGGAAATAAATTTAATTGCGGGTTTAGGTTTGTGCTAATTTAATTCTCCGCTGATTTGTTTGCTCCTTTTTCTTGATATTTACAATTGTCTCCGGGGCAAACAAAATACCGAGTCGGTAGCCAGTAGCCAGAATTCAGAGTCCAGTCGGAGTATACAAACTTGTTTGCTACTAAAAAACACACATGAAACTGGGGTTCAACCTGCATGTTATATTTTCAGGTTTCATTTAATTGCTTTTGCCAGAGAAATATTTTTAGCACTGACAGGGAGCCGGGATATTTGATTTAAAGACACACTTCCCGCGCCAGACAGTAAAGCGACAGTGCACAAATTGTTTCAACTATCGTTGCCAGTGGACACATCCCGAGGGGACGGCTCTGGGAGTTGCAATTGGGCAGGGGGGTCACCCGGCAGTGCAGTGCTGACGGCCGACGTGTTGAACTTGAAATACAATTTGTAAAATGTTGTGTTGCCGCTGTTGCTGTTCAGTCATTTTAATTTCCTCAACAATTTTTGAGGGTATAGGTGGTTTTTAAAGTGAAATAACTGCAACCCAAAAGCTAAAACTAAGGTTTTAATGAAGTTCAAAGTTTTAAGTTAAGACGTAAAATTAAAAATCTAGCTTGGAAAAAACTATAAAATCTTCAGAAATTTATTAAACTAAATTATAAAGAATATTTTTTATAATCAAGCAGTAAAATTAGAGTTTTAAAATGGAGCAAAAGGAGGCATAGAACCATTACCATTGAATATGGATTCTAAAGACTCCTTTTAAATCAGCTTCATCTTTTCTTTGACACTATATTTAAATTTTTTTAAAAGAAATTTGCTCTTAGAGCTTTTTTGCTCTTAATAAAGTCTATCTCAACTGGGACTGCCACAAGTTGTGTTTAGTTTTTTGCCATTCAATATTCTACAAAGCTCACATTTTGTTTTCATTTGTTCAGTTTTGTTTTGCTTTTTTCGTTCGTTCAATTTTCACAGCATAAAGCGTGCAAATGTGCGAATGAATGAATGTTCCTGTAAAAATCTTTGCAAAAAAGTTTCCTTGTAAACGACACACTTTCAACTGGGTTGCACTCCCCGCAATTAAAACGCCCCCGAGAAGTGCATTTAATTTATGGGCCCCCAGTCACTGAGCTGTCGCATTCTGTCACCTGAGTCAGGTGTCTCGGAGTGAATCAAAACATGTTAATGGCTAATTCACTTGATTGATAATCGCACATCGGTGATGTAAATGGGTTGATTTTAACCTGAGTATCGCTTTCATCCCACTAATGAGCTGAACTTTTATGGAGGAGAGAGCATTAGCTTATAATTAGATATGGCTTTGCCTAATTCTTGAGAACAATTCCACAGCAATTACGTTCCACGGCCGATTACCTAACTCTGAGTATTACGCGGCGTTCAATTGTGTTTTCATTTTCAACAGCGTATGGCTAAAAATAAAAAATAGCCACAAAATATGCAGCTCATATTTCTCGCTACAAAAAAACAAGTACACCGAAGTCTGCCTGGCCAGCACAAAATCCCATCGAAGACCGAAAGAAACCAAAACAAAAATATTAGCCAACAAATAAAGAGAGTAGTAATGACCGAAAAGAAGGCTATTAATGAGGAGATCAAAATCGACTTATTAATACCCTAACGCCCCGACCGAAATAAATTATGATTAATGCAGGCCAATTAATAAATTTGAAACCAGTTTCGACCAGATTCGAGCGAAGCTGGGCAGTAGCATGAATGGGGATTTGAGTGAATCGCTCAATGGATTGTCCATAAATCTCAATCAGAACTAATTTCGTAATTAGCCAAATGATCGACTTAACGACAGTTATCGGTGCCAGGTTGGCAGCTCGTTCAAAATGGAAAGCGAATCAGCGCCACTTTATTTGCATAGTTTGAACGCCGAAAAGTAATTAAGCAACATGACCGGACCGAGTCGATGACAGGGAGAATCTGGGGGGGTTCACGGGGTCTACGCTCTAAAAATAGCCACAGTCGCAGCGACAGGTGACGTTTGACTTGCTGTCCCGTTGACCAGTTAAACAACCTATTAATAAAGCGTGAACTTCATTAGTCAGAGGCGAGAGAAACAAATAAGCGAATTAGCATAAGCCGGCGAACAGCTGGCCAGTTGGAGCTGGCGATGGTTCCCATCTCCTCGGCTTTGTGCCAGCGAAATGTGCGAATTGTAGATTAAAAGCCCATAAATCATCCCGGCCAATCACAGCGGGGGCCAGAGGTCTAACGGTCTAACCTCAAGACACCTCTAACGATTGCTACCTGATTGAACGGTGATTGAACAGGGCCGGGGCTCCGAGGGGCCGAGCGCTGTTAATCCAAGGCACGTGTAGACTCTTAAGACCCAAAAATATCACAAAAATACTCCAATCCAAGGCGTACAAAATCGTAAAGCCAAAATAAAAATAATGAAATACATACGGGGCAAAAACAAAATAATAATACAAAAAAAAAACAAAGCCTTTTTTGTATATCTAAAAAATAAAGAAAAAATGCATGGAACAAAACACTCTCCATCTCTGTCTGTAGATGCCCCTTTCTCCATTGCTGTTCAAGTCTCGAATTGACCCATATTTCATTGGCTTTTTGGCATTTGACGAATTGTTTGCAGGCCGTCAAATAAGACAACCTTGGGAATCGAAGTTGCCCAGCAATAAGCCTTGCATCTGCCAGTTCTCAATCAAAATTGAATTGATTGAAAGGTTACGGAAGTGGCCGATTGGGAAAATTAAATTAAACAATCAACACCATTTCCACTTAGTTAAAATTTTGGTTATGGGGTTATGACACTGAAAGGAGTTTGAACAGTCCAGTGTGACCATGATCTCCACAAGACCACTTGTTATTATGTGCCTCAGTAAAACTTATTAACTTAACTGATAAGTCTTATTTGATTTAAACCATTTTTAATAAGAACAAAACACAATTGAGCTGTGCACAAATTATGTTATTAACTATTGGCGGACTTAAAGGTATTTTAAAACTGTTTTTAATCCCAAAAAAAAATTTATAGAAAATGCCATAGGGCATTATTACGGAGATATATATTTTTTTTTTATTTCTCGATGCCAAACGGCTTTGTGTCCACTCTTTCTTCTTCGCATTGTATTTATTACCATTGTTTGTTTGTCTTAGATGCTTTTTTTGCCACATTTGAATGCCTCGAAGGGGTCTTTTTTGTTTGCATCTATTTTTAGCCACAAAAGTATATCTTGCCGGCTATAGACACATTGGAAAGAAGTTTAATGAACGGATAGCCGCGATGGTAATCGGCGAATGGGAAAATTGGTCAAGAGTTAACCGAACCTGAGCTCCGACCAGGAACTGTCCCCAATAAAGCGATTGAGCGATTATATGTCGAATCACTCTTTGGCCGCTCACAAAGCGATTTTTCACGTTCTTTACTTATACTTCTAATTGCCGTTAAATTTGCAGCGACTTCGAAATCTCGGGGAACACATATGCTTTAAGATTTTGTAATTTCCCAGTTCAAATTTCGTTTGTACTACCTGAATTCATGAGCCACTCGAATACGTGTCAACAACAATTGAATTTTACCCCGCACAGGTGAAGGTCAAAAGAATTTTTAATACCGCATTTCAGTTTATTTTTAGCCCTTTTGTTTTTAAATGCGTTGTCAGCTTCAAATGAGTTTAAAAAAAATACATACATATATATTTTCTTTTTTTTTACGACTCTCAATCAATTATTTTTTTTTTTGTATTTTGTGCACACAAAGTTCAAGCCCAAAAATGATGTCTGGCGAGTTTGCTGAAATACGTTTTTTTTTATTTATCATCTTAATTTGCATTAAATTTCGTTGTTAGTCAAATTAGAAACTCCAATGGTTCCACTTTGTTTGAATTATAATTTATGGGTGTGAGGATAGCATGTGACAATCATTTGAATGGACTTTCTAGGCCTAGACGGCATTTGAATAATTCAAATCTATAAACAATTCTTAAGCTAAAAATAGTTCAATAGAATTATTATAATATTCTTTTTGGGAAACTGTAACAAAAGGCTTTTTAGTGAAAGGTTAAAGTGCAAAAACACACTTTAACCAACGCTTAAAGAGCTAGCTAAGTCAGCTCCATGTTTTATTTAATCAAAATTCATATTTTACTTTCATAGAAAGTGTGTCCCAGCAACGACTTTCATAAAATTCCCCCTTGTTTTGAATATTATTGCTCCTCAAACAATTTGCATGCACACACAAGTGTTTTACAGGAAAAATTGCAATGTGGCTTGGCCTGCTGCTGTTCATGAACTGCATTTAAAAATACGAATAGCAAATATTGTTTTGAGTTTTCGGCTTCCCCTTCAATGGCCATCTGCGGCTGTTCACATACGAAAACCAAGCATAAAGCATCTTTGAATGCTTCAATAAATTGGGGGGACAATAAAGAAATAAATACCAAAAATGCTGTGCCGCAAAAGTGCTAATTAAAACCGATTTCGAATTTTAAAAAAAAGGGCGAAAATGTGCACAATGTGTGCATACAGCAGTGAGAACCGGATTGCTAATGAAAAGCCCGAGACGGATAATTAAATTTGAACAATCGTCGGTGATTAATAAAAATTGAACCAAACAAAACAGTGCAATTAATAAACAAAAATTCCAATTTGCTGCAGGTTTCGCTGCAAAATGAATTAAAGGAGAGCTGTGATAAAAAATAAATAAAAAAAGCAAGAAAGGTTGTTAAACACACGCATAAATAATGCGATCAAAATCAGTGACAAAGAGCAACGCTTGACAAACACGAACCCAAATTCCGAATAAACTCCACCCGTGTCCACCAGCGAGGAGCCTCTCCGTCCGCGATGCCCCCGGCTGGCAGTCCGAGGACCTGCGGACTTAGCTGCCTCCTCCTGAGCCTCAGCCTGCTCTTGGGCCTCCTCTTTCCGGGTCGCATCCTGACGGCCGCCTGGTTCTACGATGCCGAGCCCGTGGGCGGGGTGGCCATCGGCTCCGACGAGCATAGCTTCAAGACGCCGGAGACGAAGAACTCGCACAAGTCGCAGAGCACCGAGCTGGTCCAGCCCTTCCCCAGCCCGCCGATGACGCCCGGTCACCATGGCCACGTGGCCCGCCGGCAGCTGGTCTTTGTGGCACTGCTGCCCTCCGTGGAGTCGGACAACAAGAACGACTGCATCATGCCGAAGGTGCTGCCCGTGCTGGAGCTGGGCATTAGGCATGTCCAACGGATGGGCTTTGTTGGCGGCACCCAGTTCGACATCCAGCTGATATCGCGCGACACCTTCTGCTCCTCCAAGTACGGTCCCATTGGTTTCTTCGAGATCTACACCCAATGGCCCGAGGTGAACGCCGTGTTCGGCCTGCCCTGCGAGTACGTGCTGGCCCCCATCTCTCGTTATGCTGACGTCTGGCAGGTACCGGTCCTCACCACCGGCGGCAATGCCAAGGAGTTCAACAAGAAGTCTGAAAGCTACTCCACGCTCACCCGCCTCAAGGGAGCCCAGGTGAACAATTTGGGCAATGTGGTGCGGGCGATCCTCAACAGCTTCAACTGGACGCGCACCGCCCTCATCTATCAGAACGAGAACGCCAAGGTCAAGGGCAACTCGGTGTGTTTCCTTTGCCTGGCCGCCATTCATGACACCATCGAGGAGCACTCGGTCTATCAGCTGGGATTCGATACTTCCACCTGGACCAAGGCGGACATAACGCGGATGCTGAAAAACGTGGCCATGCAAACGAGAAGTAAGTGGAGGTGCCAAATTGAGGAACTCTTTTAGCCATATACTCCTATATTCAAGATTTCAATTTAAATATAAAGTAACCCATAAAAATAAGATTTTCTGATAGCAAAAGCCAAAGAATTTAATAGAGAACAAAGAAATTTAATTAAATAAAGAAGATAATAATTCTTAATTGAAATAGCTGTAGGAACTTTTAATTTGGCATTGCCTTACATTTATACATTTTTCGCAAAATATACAGATCGGATAGAAAAGCCTTGTCCGCTTCACTAGCTCATTGCATGCACTTGCACTTGCCAATGCATTTGAGCAGCCATCTGCCCTGAACCCGCAGCAACCCCATTGCGTTCGACATTGAAAGCGAAATCGATCTAATTATATTTGGCAAATGTGACGACGACAAGTTCAAGAAACCAAACCGAAAGGAAATAGCTCTTGCAGTCTATTTCTGACCGACTGGGGAATATATAATTACCACAATTTATTTATGCCCAGACTGTGGTGCTCTTCGTAACACTGGGCGTATACGCAATGTTTACAGCCGCAACTACAGGCTATTTGCTAAGTGAAATGTAATATTTGATGCACTTAATATTGCAGTTAATTAAGAGATTGCATTGGCAAGCGATACAGTTATGAAGCTGTCAACTGTCACGGTTTAATGACAGACACCAAATAGTCACATATCAAGCATACGCAGCGTATGCTTGGGGTTCTACCTGCCCCGTCCGCTTCCGTTGCTCCGATCGAACGCTATTGTTTAATTACAGCTCATTTAATTTCATTTATTGGCAATTAACACGGTAAACAATTACAATCGTTATGCATATTTTGTGAGGCAGTCGCGGCAATGCGATTCGCAGTTCTATGCTAATTGAACTTTAATGGGAATACGATGCGAGCGAAAAAAAGAAGATGGGGGCAAGCACTTTGAATCGACTAGGGAATATGCTCGATAAAGAAATCAATCAAAGGGCCATTTTATGATTACATAGATGTGTAAATTATTTAGCTAGGATAAAACCATATTATACGCTTCATGGAAAAGTAGCAATCTGTTCAGAAACAATAATAATGAACTTATTTAATAGATTTATTAAATTCAATAACAAATAATTTATTCAAAATTTAATAGGTTTTGCTAGCGGCTGGAATACTTAATGAATTACCGTCTGTTAAATATTATTTTCGGATTGCCGACAAAGAAAGTCATCTTTATGACACACAATATCTAACAATAGAACTGAGTTCAAGGGCACACAATTTCCTTGTGAAGTGCCCAAAAAGAATCAAACTCGCTTTCGAAATAAATCTGTACGTGCCCGGTGTTTTTATGAAATAAATGATTTATTGTCAATCGGATTGCTCAAAACAAAATTAAATTACAGCACAGGAAATTCAATTAAAACGTTTATTTCTTGACTTCAAACTTGATTGGTAACTTGATATCTTCCTGATGCCTTTTGTATTGCTTTTTACAATGCCATGCAAATTGATTTATAAACTGTAAATGTAATATTTTTACGAGTCGAGTGAACTGCTTTAAACCTGCAATTATGTTTAACGACATTTTGCACGCCTGCAACAGCTGCACATTTATTACTTATTCACATCGGGGCCAAGGCATAAATATCTTCATCGCCGAATGGAATGAGTCAACAACTGACAGCTCTCAGGAAGCCAACGGGAGCAAGAGCGACTATGTAATATTTAAAAGCATAAGACAAATGGGAAAATAAAAATTGTATAATTAAATCAAGTCAATTGCACGTTTTTGCACTGAACTTGAAATTGCCTGGTCTACGACCATGCAGCTTCTGCCATCCATTTTCCAAGTAATTAGATTTGAGCGAGAAATAGTTTGAGCAAAACATGACGTACAGGGAAAAGCAAGACAAAATTGCACTCGATTGTCGTTTTACGATTGTCTATTTTGTGTGCACAAAATATGCTGGTAGCTAGATATCCAATAAAAGGTAAAGGCTTCACAATTAAAGTTGCATTTGTTTGCAACATATTTGACAGCCAAACACGAATGCTTATTTGCATATCATGCTCGGTGCACCACGTGTCGTATGCGCAATTACATTTGCCAGCTTATGCTGGCTTACGGAATTCTACACGAACGTTTATTCATAACTAGCTCTGACATTCAATTTGTAATTGATGGAATTAACATATACCTTGTGGGTGGAATCAAGTTTTAGATTTGGGTTACATTTCAGCAGAGTAATTGTAAATATTTGTGAAATGCATAAACTTGAAAGGGAAGGCAGGATAAATCTAAATAAAGTTTTACTTTTGAATACTGAGAGTTGATAAGTGATTACAAATATTACAATTCTTTGAATATTAAAATTAAATAATATCAAAATTAAATGGAAAATTACTGAAATATTATCAGCATATTGTTACATATATTTCCCCAATTCTTTCCTGCTCCACAACGTATGGAAAGCTCTTTCGAGTACTGTCAAATACGTATCAACTTGAGTATGAAGCACCATTAAGATCTTTGGGTTTTAATTTAAGAAACAATGTGTTTTTTTTTTGTGCTTCCCTTTTGAAACTACGTTTTGCACTCGCTGACGTCAAAGGAGCTGACAAGTTCGGGCGAGAGAAGCTCAACAGCTTCTAAATAAATTAATACATTTTTAATGACAAGAGCAGCAGCTGCGATAGCTCCCGCAGAAAAAGAAGAAACAATAAATTCAATACAGATACTTTTTCTATCTCGTTTTGACTTCTTCATTTTTTCATTTTATTTCTTTGCAGTTGTCATAATGTGCGCCGATCCGCAGTCGATACGTCAAATTATGCTGACAGCCGAGGAGCTAAATATGATCGATAGCGGCGAATATGTTTTCATCAATATCGAGTTATTTTCGCGGTGAGTATCTCGGCGCTAGCCAAACGTATGAATTACTTAACAGCGTCGGCGGGACGGGGCTTGGGGGGTCAGACACAAAAGGTGATCATTTATGGCAATTGCCAAACAATTTGTTGCCTTTCACTTTGATCAAATAAAAAAAATGGGAAAAAATCCACGCGCACTCTCGAACAAATATTCTTTACAAACTGCGCATGAGCAGCATTAGTCAAGGTTGTTAATGTTATGAAATGTACCAAGCGCTGTCTATAAATAGCTTCTGCATTTGCTCACAAGAGCCTAACTATTTTTAAATTGAGGAAATTCCATATTTCGGCACATGGCGTTGGCAGATCGATTAAACCCCCGAACCCCGGCTCCGACTCGAACAATGGCCGAGAGGCAAAGTACCCAGACTCAGACCTCAAGCCATATTCGATGTGATTATCCAAACATTAGTGCTGAGTAATGGTCAAGCAGCTTCTTTGTCTGCCCCTCAATAGCTCAAAAGCTCTTTGTCTGACCCGCCTCCAGGCCGAGCTCGAGCAGAGCTGGAAAAGCTGGGGAAAATTCGGTGAAGTGGCAAGGTGACAGGGTGAGAGATGCACGCTCCTCTCCCACTCGTTTTCTTTCTGATAGTGCAAAGAAAATATAATTGCAATCGGCTTCGATTTGCATGTGCATTAAATGCATTCTAATCGCCCGACCTTCATGACACTCGCAATCAATGGAAAAATGTTGCGTACATATACTTACTAATCTATATACTAGTGGGCAAGAGCGTGTGTAAGTGCCGGTATATGCATCGGATTAGCTAATCAATTTCCTGCTTGCAAAAGCTCGGAGTAAACAGACTATATAGTGATAAATTCTATCATTAGAATCCCCTGGGAATTAGTAGAGAAATGATCATTGATATCCGAGTCGTATTATGTGTTAAAAAACAAATTTAATTACTTTTTGACCTGAAGTTAAGAATCCAATTTGAATTATTAAGTCAATATGTTTGCCTTTGAACATAATTTTGATATTATAGATTGCTATCTGCAATGTATCTATCAAATTAAAGATATCTTTTAAGAACCTATAAATATATTTGATTAAATTAAATAGTTAATATAAAAGCAAGCAAAACACGAGCAGGTAGAAACACATGCAAGTTCCAGATGATAAGGAGGGGCTAGTAAATTCCGAATGCAGTTACATAGAATCGAACTAGGTATATGTAGGTGTGTTCAGTGGATCCGCACACTTTAACAGTCTATTTATAAACAATTTATGACGCATATCAATGGCTGGTAATAGACCCAAACTGAAGGCGGCACAAAGGCAAATTAAAACCGTATTGATAAGCAAAAACTACATTTAAAAACAAAACGAAAAATCAAAGTAACCCGGAATGTGATTAAAAATAAAAGGGCAACTGCAAAAATCACATACAGTGTCCACCATCGAATTGGTTTTCTTTATTAAGAGTCAAACGTTAAGATTAGCATGCCAATCACTGGAATCCCTTTGAAATTCTTAAGGGATTTGCTCCTGTCACTATTCAATGGTCAAAGATCTTAATACCTTTTAATTATGGAAGTAAATGATTTTACGTTTGGTAATAAAAATTATTCAAGTTTTCTTTTATTTGACAAAGAAATAATTGGGCTTGCTGATGAATATGCCATTTTAAGCTTCAAAAGTAATCTTGAAACCGGTAAAGCGTCTGTCGTTCAGTGTCATAAAACCGATAATAAATTCCTTATAGCAACAGGCTACTGTATGTGCTGATAATTTTGTTTACTATTTTCTCCGCCTTACAGGGTTCCCTATCTGACATCGCAGCCCTGGTATGAGAAGAACGACACGGATTTGAATAATGAGCGGGCCCAAAAGGCCTACACCGCCATGCTGACCGTAACCCCAAAGCAGCCGAATGACAACGAGTACACCCGGGTCTCCAATGAGGTGAGCACTACTAGGGGAGCGGCTAAGCCGGGACTCGGTGGGTCCATGCATTTGCATGGAAATGGATATGCGGAAGCCAATTTGAAAATTTTTGCAGATTTCTTTTGTTTTTCCCCTCTGTGTGTGGGCTCTGTGCTGCGCTCATCCGATTCTTTTTTGGCCAGCCTCATGCATACTCAATTCCCGGGCACGCTGCCCCCCCCCATAGCCATAGCCTATTTAGCATGAGCATGGGGCTGGTCAGGTGGGGCTGGGAATTGTAAACATTTTTCTGTTGATACATGGTAAATTTACAACAAACAAAGCCGACAACACCTGGTAGCATTTGCTGACCAACTTCAGTGGAAAGGCCCTCGAAAAGCCGAAGCAGCCACCTGAAAAGTGAATGAATTTGCAGTTGCAATTGCTGATAAGCAGCCGGGGAGCATGTGAAACGGGGTAGCCCCTTTAGACTATAGTCCGTTCGGCTGGCTAATGACACTTTGGCTCGCCACGTATCTGTTAGATACTTAGGCCATGCACAGAAGGAGGCAAAATGCGAACGACAAGCTGATGATGGTTTTCTGCTTTCCTAGGTTGGCCTACACTCTGCGGAACGCTGGAAAATTATTAAAATTTACTATTAGAATCTCAAAATATCTGTTTAATAAGTAAATTAATCGAGTATATAATACTATTAGTTTATTGTTAAAAGTCAATTATTTAAAGCTCGTATTTCTTTAGTTTTACTTTATCATTCCACTCCACATTTTCTGAGTGTATGCCAATAATTACAGTACTGCGGTAGATACCAGGCTTACATTCAGCCACACCTTTCATCTGCAGCCTTTAAAGATTGCAGCTTAACTCTGCCCCTTCTTTGGCAGAAAACTTACGCTCAATGGACATTTGCAACCGCAACTCCGGCCAAATCCCGCCAGAGTCGCCTGTCAAAGGAGAATGGCGAACGAAATCCGCCGGTGGCACATTGGAGTGCGGTGTGCAATAATTTCCACATGGATTGTGACAAAACGTCGCGGACCAGGAGGACCTTCGTCTTCCGTTCTCCTTTCTCCGTTCCGGGCGAGCGAGCGCGTAATTGAATTTTCACGGGGGCCAAAGCAATTAAAGAGGAATGGCGCCAGACGCCAAGAACGGGGGATAGCAATTGATGCCCCACGGCAACGAAAATTGAATGGGTTTAGGTTTAGGGACCGAGGGACGGGCCAGCAGAAGAGAGATTAATGCGTTGGGATTTCGCATCCGTTCTCTTGTCCATCCACAGATCAAAGCCATTGCCGCCGAGAAATACAATTACACATTCAGCGACAACGAGCCGATTTCTGCTTTCGTCACCTCCTTCTTCGACGGGGTCCTGCTCTATGCCAATGCCCTGAATGAGAGCATTCGGGAGGATCCCACAATGCTGACACGCCCCATTAACGGCACAGACATGGTGCGACGCATGTGGAACCGCAGCTTTACCGGCATCACGGGCAATGTGACCATTGATGCCAATGGCGACCGGCTGTCCGCCTACTCGCTGTTGGATATGAATCCCACCACCGGGCGCTTCGAGATCGTGGCTCACTTTCTACACAACCGGCTGGAGTTCGAGGCCAACAAGGATATCCACTGGGCGGGCGACCGCGAGGAGGCACCGCCGGATCGACCCAGCTGCGGCTACGATGGTGCCCTGTGTCCCGATAATTGTAGGTGTCAAAACCAAATAATAGGAAGCATAACCCCATCTTTTGACCCTTCTTCTTTCAGCTTTGCCCGGCTATGCAATCCTCTCGATCGTGCTGGGAACCATGGTGATCGTGATGGCAGTGTGCTTCTTCTTCGGGTATCGCCACTACATCGCCGAGGCGGAGATCAATTCCATGAGCTGGAAGGTGTCGCTGGAGGATGTGATGTTCCGCGATGCAGCAGAGCGCGGACTGCGCGGCTCCTTCCACTCTTTGGTAAAGCAAAGTTCGCAACTGACACTGATGTCAGAGGATATGGTGTCCATCAATGGCGACCGCCAGATCTTCATACCCGTAGGCATGTTTCGCAAAAGCAAGGTGGCCATCAAGCCGGTGGAGGTGTCCAACGTGCACAACATGCTTACCCGCAGCCTGATGCTGGAGCTAAAGCGCATGAAGGATCTGCAACATGACCACTTGGTTAAGTTCTACGGCGCCTGCTTGGACCAGCGGCGCAGCTTCCTGCTCACCGAGTACTGTCCCAAGGGCTCGCTGCAGGACATCCTCGAGAACGAGCAGTTCCAGCTGGACTGGATGTTCCGCCTGTCGCTCATGCACGACATCGTGCGCGGCATGCAGTTCCTGCACAGCTCCGACATTCGTTCCCACGGCAACCTCAAGTCCTCCAACTGCGTCGTCGATTCCCGTTTCGTGCTCAAGATCACCGATTTCGGGCTACACAGTCTAAGGAAGTCGCAATTCGACATGGAGAGCGATGGGGGCAATTGCAATAGTCATGCTTATTGGAGCAGTAAGTAACTTAAATGTATAATAAGAAATAAGAAATACAAAAAAAAATCTAAGAAGAATTCAATGATAACAATATTTCCAATTTATTTTTGTATTTATTCAGAGCTTTTGTGGACTTCCCCCGAACTGCTGAGACTGGAGCACCAGAGGGCCCCCGAGGGCACACAGAAGGGGGACGTCTACGCCTTTGGAATCATTGTGCACGAGATAACCACTCGACAGGGCCCCTTTTACCTGGGCAGGTGTGCGTACGAGAAATCGCCGCAAGGTATGCCATGAAATTGTTTCTGCTCTTCAGATCCCCTGCCCCTCCAGCTCCTCCGCAGAGCGCACATTTTCGTGTTGCAGCCGATTTCGTCTGAGCGGAATTTTAATGCTAGATTTTTGCACATGTTGCGGTTACTCCGTCCGTCCAGACAAGTTGGCCTCTCCGGATCGTTGTGGCCCTGGGTATGTGTGGGACTGCGCAAATTAGCAGGAGACGTGCTCGACAATCTACAACCAAGAATCACTTAATTCCTGAGCAATGAGAGAACGGCACAGGCAGGAGCACACAGTTTTTGTGTAAACGGATTAAATGCTCTCTAATAATTAGTCTACAAAAAATTACTTAGTGGTAGCTTTGATTTTGAAGGTTTAAAGAAGAAAATACTTAGTTTTTAAAATTGAGAAAATTAATATTAATATGTAAACATCAGAGCCAAGAGCTTGGTCCCAATATTTCCCAATTCTCATCCTTCTACTGCTTTATAAGGTCACTTCAGTTGAAACAAAATCAAGTTAAACCTAAAAAATAACAAAAAAAACTGAAAAGTGTAATATTTTTTTCGTTGCGCTGAGCTTGTTCTGTTTTTTTTTATTGCTGCTTGTAGTTGATGCACTCAACGCCTCCTGAAACTAAAGGCCAACTGCGAAGGGACTCTCGCCGATTTCAATTGGCGCCCGAAACTTGGTCTTCAAGTTGCCACTTGGCGAATTCATCAAATTATGCACTGACTTGGCGGCTGTGGGAATCAGGATTCAGTCTCTCCCTTTACCGCCACTCGTGCCTTGCCGCAGAATACTAACTGGCAACTTTGCCAGCTGCCGGCGCTTGTCGAGAGTTGTGTCTGCAGGCGAATTTAATTGCGGTCTCAGCGCACTGGAAATCGAAATCAAATTGTAGAAAGGCAGGTCGAAAAATGAAAAGTTGATCCCCCCCTGCTTGTAGACCACCCACAAGGGCAAATCACGAAGTGTTGTTGCGGTCGGGCACGTCCGAGAAGTTCCTGGATTTGTGCCCGAAGCACCGGCCGTAAGCGAAGAGCAGCATGGCCCCGCAGCCAGGTCTTTTCATCCTGGCCCTGCTACATTCCCGAACTGTCTTTTTAAGCTTTTCCCTGCTTATGTTGGGCGGGGGTTCCTTGAAAGCGGCGATTACTCCTGGCGGCTCCTGCCACGTATAGTAGTACTGCCCTATATGCTGCCGCTCCAGCTTGTTTAGCCAATCGATGCGTGATCTCCCCCAGGTGCAGCGGCAATGAGGCGACTTCACACAGCCTCCGAATATGATCTCTGCATCGGTGGGTTCGCGTTTCACATCCATACCGCCACTCTGCCGTTTCCGGGACTTGGACGTCTTCTTCTTGGGCCCATTGGCCATGTTCCACACGAGATCCGTTATCTCATCCTTCGTCAGCGGCTCCTTGGGGCGACAGATGGCGTGCAGCAGTAGCTCGTGTTCGTAGCACGGCCTCAGCTCGTGCGGTTTCGGTGGCTTTGCCTGGAGAAATAGGCTGAGCATGTCCAGATATTGTTTCTCTGACCACATCTTGGCAGCAGTGGCTTTGTGTGCGAGTGCGGATGTCTTGGCCAGGCAACACGACCCGTCTGATGTCTACAAAAAATTATACATAAAACGAAAAAATTTACATCACAAAATAGCCAACAAAACCAAACTCAATTGAAATCTAAACCAAAGCCTCTCTCTAACTGCCTACAGAAATCATAGAACTGGTCAAGGGATATCACCCGCAGAGAATGCAGAGACCATTCCGGCCGGATCTCGAACCAAATGGCGATACCAAGGCGGACATTAACGGCATCATCCGACGCTGCTGGGCGGAGGATCCAGCCGAACGTCCGGACTTTAATACACTCAAGTCCATGATTCGCAGGTTCAATAAGTAAGTGTCCAATAATGTCCTTGTTAGTTATTCAATAAAGGATTGGTTTTGTAATATATGTTAACTCCCTCCCTTAATGTACTCCTTGACAGAGACAACGAGACGGGCAACATTGTGGACAACCTGCTGAAGCGCATGGAACTGTACGCCAACAACCTCGAGGAACTGGTGGAGGAGCGCACCCAGGACTACCATGAGGAGAAGAAGAAATGCGAGAAGCTGCTCTACCAGCTGCTGCCGCAGAGCGTTGCTGCCCAGCTAATCAGTGGCCAGCCCGTGGTGGCAGAGACCTTCGACCAGGTGACAATATACTTCAGCGACATCGTCGGCTTCACGGCCATCTCGGCGGAGAGCACGCCCATGCAGGTGGTCCAGTTCCTCAACGACCTGTACACCTGCTTCGACTCCATCGTGGAGAACTTCGATGTGTACAAGGTGGAGACGATCGGTGATGCCTACATGGTGGTCTCGGGGCTGCCCATTCGCAATGGAAACCAGCATGCCCGGGAGATAGCCCGCCTAGCCCTCGCCCTTCTGGAGGCAGTGCACAACTTCTGCATCCACCACCGGCCGGAAGACCGCCTGAAGCTGAGGATTGGCCTACACACCGGTGCCTGTGTGGCGGGCGTAGTGGGACTAAAGATGCCACGCTACTGCCTCTTTGGTGACACCGTCAACACCGCCTCCCGCATGGAGTCCAATGGCGAGGCGCTAAAGATACACATCAGCGAGACCACCAAGGTAGCTCTAGATGAGTTCGGCACCTTCGTGACCACCCGGCGGGGCTTCGTGCCCATGAAGGGCAAGGGCGAGATGCTTACCTACTGGCTGGAGGGCGAGGTGCCGCGCCCCGACGCTTTGATGTCGCCCAACAAGCTCCTGCTCTCGAGACGCTCTTCGCTAAAGCAGCCTCAGCGCAGCCAGTCGCATCATCTGCACAAGCAACACTCCGAGCTGGTCGTGGCCACGCCCCAAGCAACCCAGGTGCCGCCGCCTACGATCGCCCTGCCACCGCCTCCGCCGGCGAAGGAGTCACCCAATCTGCGCGTTAAGCGCAAGATCAGCTCCAGCTCGCCCAAGCTGAATGGCGGGAGCTTCGACTACCACAAGACTGAGAACCTCTACTTGGATGCGGCGGCTGCCCAGAGGCCCTGCGACATCTACAGCAGCCGCAGCCTACGCGACATGGAGGAGAGCTCCGACAGCTGGGAACTGGCACACTTCCGGCTGCCGCTGAGCGGAGCGCTCAAGAACCACCATCACCTCAACCTCAGCAACCAGAACAACAACAATAGCCACGGCTATGTCCATTCGAATTCCAGCTCCAATTTGAGCGGCATCCTGCAGCCACCGGCGATGGGGTGTCCCAGGAGCCGGCTAAAGCCCTCGCCCACGATCTCAACGCTGCTGACGGGCGCTCCGGGTGTGGACACGTGCAGCATGGACAGTGGCCAGCTGAGAATCAAGTTTGCCGAGGGCGATGAGGCACCGCTGCTGCCCACGTCGGCGCCACCTGCTGCCCCTGTTCCCGTTCCAGCTGCGACTCAAACAGCCATGCCACTGGTGGCCAACAGCCCGCAGCGGAGTGCCAGTGGCCAGAACATTCCGGGGGACAGCAACCACTTCGGCTACCTGGTGAAGAGCTACAGGCAACAGTGCCCTCCAGTGGCGGGCAGTGCCGTCACGCAGCCGCTGCTGGCCAAGATCAACTCGTAGCTGTAAGCGGGGGGCGTCGCCTCCCACTCCCCACTCACGTGTAATCATGCATATTAAGTGTACTTGTTTGTGATAATAAGTTAAACCCAAGTTGAACAAGTTAGTCGAGTTAGACCGAATCAAATTCGAAATTCGTATACGGGAAATCCTCTAAAAATTTAAAATGTTTTAGTAGTCTTCGTAGTTTCTAGTAACGCCCTTTCCTTTTACTTATAAGTAGCGAATTTTATATGTTACCGATCAACAACAAACTAAAAACACTCGGTGTAAATACTTTACGCCCAACCGATTTGTTCCTTGTGCTTTGAATATTCAGTTTCTCCGAACACTCAGACAATTAGCTTAAAGTAGGATATTATTACCTAGGGCTAAGCGTAGAAAATTTCAGCAAATTTCTTATATGTAAAGTATTAGACGAACATGAATATTTATTTTAACAAAATTGACGAATAAAGAAACCTGTATAAATTACAAATAAAGCATATTCCAAAATAAAGCATTTCGTTGCCTATCTTTAGGGGAACCTTATTAAATTACCTTGTTTGCCTAAAGCAAGCCTTAAACTAAAAACTAAAGGTAATTTAATAGATAAATAGATTTATTCTTCAAGAAAATATAAATAGATATAGAATATACTGGTAGGTGGACTGAACTCGCTAGGTTCCTCCAGGAATCCTGAAGGAATTCCTCAGAGATTCCTGGAAAAATTGTTTATTAATTCCTAGAGGATTATGGCTGGATATCTGCAGGAGTCCTGGAGTTAATCAAAAACGATTATCATCAGCATGAACTTATCTTCTATTCGAAACTAAATGTTCGTAATAAAAATAAGTATTGTTAGAGCTTGGGAAGTAATATCTAATTATCTTAAAATTGAATTTTTCCTTCAAAACTAAATTTAATTTGTTTTTTAATATTTCCGTTTGGGTTTTTTAGTCGATAATAAAACAGTACTTTTGAATCGATAGTTTTGCAGTCACTACGTCATATGTTTTCGTCAGTGTTGTCATTTTAGCTATTACCCCGCTAGATGTAGCGTTTATCAAGGGGTAATTTATAGATAATTTTTGTGGAAAGTTGTCATAATATATATAAAAATAATAATTTAATTTAAAAATTGCTTATAATTTATAATTATTTAAGTTTTGTACGGTGTATTCTTTTATTCTTTACTACTTCGGATTTCTTTAGCTACCATAACAATTCTCTCGCTTTTTAGCTTTTTTGAAGAGCTATTTTAGCTATTTTTATATCGCAGTTGGCATTACTGAGTTTGAGTCGGGCCGGAGTTGAACGCAGTTTATCCGTTAATTTTACTTATAACTTTATCAACGCAAACAATAATTGTGTTGATATATTAAAAGCGTCTCCTTGGTGGCGAGAAAGCGGGGGGAGGGGCTCACTAACCAGCCAAGCCAACCAGCGGAGAGAGCGTTGCATAATTTTACATAGCTAATGTGTTGGATGAGTTGCAACTTTCTGTTGGTGCCGTGCCGTAAAAGTTATCCACTAAATTAAATTAACACATTAACGAGTGCACACCGCGTACCGGGTGGAAAAGTGGTTTCCCTCTCGGTGCGAACTGATAATTTCGGTGATTTGTTGCGAAATAGCCGCCCCCATATAACAAAGCAATTGTTATCCGGGCTGTTCCAGTCACAGCTCCACTTTATCGGGCACGTTTCCATCAGAGCTATCAGAGCTTATCGGCGCACAGTTGTACACAGTCATCACAATGCGCTACTGCCCGCCCAACGTGACCCTCAGTGAGGTGTGGACACAGCATGGCATCTCGCACTGCTTCATGGACACCGTGGGCCCGGCCGTTTACGGCGGGTTCCTGTTGCTCTTCGGCTGCATCCAGCTGCTGATGTACCGGAAGTATGCCACCCGAATCACAGATCCCACACAAATCTCCAGGTCGCGCCTGTACGCGCTGCAGCTCTTCCTGCTGCTTCTGCTCCCGGTGCTGGCAGCGATACGGTTCCTGCTCAATGCACGCATCTATACAGACAGTACGGTGTACGGATACATGGTGAGTGGGGGAGAGGAACCGAAAAAGAAAGCGCTGCTAACCTGCTTCCCTTACAGCTATTCTCCACCGGCGTTGTGTGCTTCTGCTACCCGTTCAGCATTTGCCTGATATACAAGGAGCGCTTCTACCAGCTACCCTCGACGCCCACACGTGGACACGGGCTTATTCTGCTGCTCTTCTGGACGCTGGCCTTCATCAACGAGTCGCTGGCATTCATCAATCTGCGACACGAGGACTGGTGGTTCCATCTGAAAACGTAAGCTCTGGCCAGATATCTTTGGTGTAGATGTTTAACTACAGTTCATCTCTGTTTCCTGCAGCAACAAGGATCAAATTGAAATGGGTCTGTTTGTCACCCGCTTCCTCTGCTCGCTGCTGATCTTTGTCTTGGGCCTGAAGGCCCCTGGCATCATGGCGCCCTACAACCCTCACCAACGGCTGGACAATGACACCTCGAGTGAATCGCAAGGAAACGTTCCCACGGGATCGGCTTTCAGGAACGGTTGGCGCAAGCTGCGCACGCTCTTCCCCTACCTGTGGCCCAAGAAGGATCTGGCGCTGCAATTGGCCGTCATCGTCTGTATTATACTGCTGATTGCCGGTCGCGTCATAAAGCTGTTTTTGCCGATTTATCGCAAGTTGTTGGGTAGGTCAGGTTTTGTGCGGAAGCATATTACGTACAATCATGCAATGCTAATCTCTTGCCTTTATAGTGGACAGTCTGACCATTGAGCCGATCATCTTCCGCTGGGACTTTGTGCTGATCTATGTGGCTCTATCCTTCCTGCAAGGCGGCGGCACCGGGGGCATGGGATTGTTTAATAATCTGCGCACTTTCCTGTGGATCCGAGTGCAGCAGTACACGACCCGCGAGATTGAGATCGAGCTATTCCAGCATCTGCATCAACTTTCGCTGAGGTGGCACTTGCAGCGAAAGACGGGCGAGGTGCTGCGAGTCATGGACCGTGGCACGGACTCGATCAACAACCTGCTCAACTACATTGTCTTCTCGATTACGCCCACCATTCTGGATCTCATTGTGGCCGTCGCCTTCTTCATATACGCCTTTAATTGGTGGTTCGGACTTATCGTCTTCCTCACCATGTTCCTGTATATAGGTAAGGATCTATTACAGCCCGAGTTGTTTTTCTCCATTACTATAATTTTGGTTCTGCTTTGCAGCCTCTACCATTGCCATTACGGAGTGGCGTACCAAATACCAGAGGAGAATGAACCTGGCGGACAACGAGCAGCGTGCTCGCAGCGTGGACTCTTTGCTGAACTTTGAAACTGTCAAATACTATGGAGCCGAGGGATACGAGGTGGACTGCTATAGGGAGGCCATCCTTAAGTATCAAAAGGAGGAGTTCTTGTCCATGCTGACCCTGAATATGCTGAACACCGCCCAGAACATTATCCTGTGCCTGGGCCTGCTTGCCGGATCGCTGCTTTGCGTCTATCTGGTGGTCCACCACCAAACCCTGACCGTGGGTGACTTCGTTTTATTCTCTACGTACCTCATGGAGCTGTACATGCCGCTGAACTGGTTCGGCACCTACTACCGAGCCATCCAGAAGAACTTTGTGGACATGGAGAACATGTTCGATCTGCTGCGCGAGGAGGAGGAGATCGTGGATGCGCCGGGCTGCTCGCCACTTCTTACCGCCGGCGGTGGCATCGAGTTCTCTAACGTAACCTTTGGCTATTCACCGGAAAAGGTGGTGCTGCGCAACGTGAATTTTTCAGTGCCCGCCGGGAAGACGGTGGCGATTGTGGGACCCTCTGGAGCGGGCAAGAGTACTATTATGCGGCTGCTCTTCCGCTTCTATGATGTGCAGACGGGAGCTATCCTGATAGATGGCCAGAATATTAAGCTGGTGCAGCAGCAGAGCCTGCGAAAGGCCATTGGCGTTGTGCCTCAGGATACGGTTCTGTTCAACAATACCATTTTCTACAACATCGAGTATGCGAAGTTGGGTGCTTCCGCCGACGCCGTCTACGAAGCTGCTCGAGCCGCCGACATTCACGAGAGGATCCTCGGTTTCCCAGACAGCTACGAAACGAAAGTAGGCGAGCGGGGTCTCCGTCTCAGTGGAGGCGAAAAGCAACGTGTGGCGATTGCCAGAACCCTCCTGAAGGCGCCCATCATTGTGTTGCTTGATGAAGCCACCTCGGCTCTGGATACTCACACGGAGCGCAATATTCAGGCTGCCTTGGCCCGTGTCTGCGCCAATCGTACCACCATCATTGTGGCCCACCGGCTCTCCACCGTCATCCATGCCGACGAGATCCTTGTGCTGAAGGAGGGAAGCATTGTGGAGCGCGGTAGGCACGAAGAGCTCGTCCTCCGTGAGGATGGCATCTATGCGGATATGTGGCAGCAGCAGCTAAAGAATCTAGATGCGGAGCAGAGCGGCTCCGAAAACGGAGATGCCAGTGCTGAATCGAGCACTGAGAAACGAGGTGCCAGTGGGGCTGGAGGAGGAGCCAGACCAAGTGGGGCTGGACCAAGCGGTGCTGGAACGGGTGGTGCCCACTTCAGGGCAGGACATGCTCATGGGGGAGCGCGCTAGAGCTAAGAACATACACAAAATACTTTCTGTTATTCCTGTCTCCATGTGATTTGTGGTAAATTGTTTTGTTACGTATAAGACGTTCGTGCAAGTCCAAGTTCGTCAATAAGTAATCGTATACACGCTACTCTTATACAAATAAATAACATAGATTTTTATAGACAATCTTTTGGAGCTTTTGAATGCGTTTTTAATCATTTCGGTGTCACAACATTGTCTATTTTTAGCTGTATATTCTTTATCGGCCTAAGGTTGGCTTATTTACACCAAAAGCATTTGAAAGATAAGTACTTTTTGGGAAGGAATATAAAATAATTAGGACCAGGAAATATATTTATACAAAGTATACAGTATTATTTATGCTCAGAAACGAATCCATTTTTTAGGACGTTCCTTAAGAGCAGGTTCCTCAGGTTGTAAGAGAGAGCCAAGCCGCTCTTTGGAACGATGATGCTTATCAGCAGAACCTCCAGCAAGGCCAGCACTCCGGCTGTTAAATCCGATCGCTGACAGCCTCAGTCCGAGTTTGGATCGCGAACGGAGCAGACGTCGAGTTGTGTTTTGGGAATTAGAGACGCTAGAGCGCTAGCGATAAAGGAGGAAAAGCGGCGGCCTCTTTGAAACATATCTGATAGTACACAGACGTATATATATACACATATTCCCGGTTATTACATTAGCAACTGTGTGTGTGGAGTCGGGAAAACTGTGAGAAAACCCGCGAGTGTCGCGACCTCGGAAGGAAGCTGTGTGCTGGCGGCCATGAGGCGATTCAAGTGTTCCGTGTTCTTGTGTACGTGAGAAGAGAGCCAGAGTAACCTAGTTGATAATCCCAACTATATCAGAAATTAATTCAGGAACATGACGTAATGATTCATTGACGAGCGCGCATCAAAAAAGAAGCCGAGGAGCAGCATTGATTAAAGCGTTTTGCGATCATATATTCATATATTGTATATATACCCTATATACACACATGCACATCGAGTATATACATACATATATAAGAACGAAATTCAATTGATAATTGAAGAGTTTATTGCCCATCCGCGCCAGAATGCGACATAGCGAGGCAGGGGAGAAGCATCCGTCGAATTGAACTTCAATTTCTCATCTACATCTATCTATCTATCTATCTGGCAGATCTTTTCCTGATCTTGGACACCGGTGGCCATGCCTTCAGCATCATCGGCCTCAACAAGCAGATGCTGTACGATTATGAGGGCAATGTCCTGGTGGGTGCGAAGCCCCAGGACGAGGGTCATCCCTCGCCACCCACCTCCGGCTGGATAGTGCGCGGAAAGCTCACGTTACAGCGGCAGAGCGAGCTGGTCCTGGCAGCGGCGGTAAGTTCTTTGATTTTTTTAGGAGAGCGCATCTGTTCTTGGAATTATTAGGAAGCATATAAGAAATGTTTCGGCTGATCTCCAACGACCCGGTCGATGATTATTTAAATTCCACTTGGAATAAAAATATTTTTGTTTATACAAAAATAAAAATACTGCCATGTGATCACTTTTCTACAATTATTTATATACGCCTCGGTATGTACATATGTATGTGTATACACTCATATGTAAATCAATTGAAAATCAGTGAAAAATCGAATCAATTTATTGATTTCATTATCAATTTGTACGATTCAATCAGCGCATTCTGGAGCCCGCTCCCCAGCCCCTTCTCCCAGCGACTCTTCTCGGGCTCCGCAGACGCAGAAGAAGAATTCGCAGATGAATTAAAGACAATTTAACCTTTCACAGAGAGAGTCAGGAGGAGGAGCGCAGCCGAGCTCACAATGAACTGAACTCGGCTGTGAACTTCTTCCATTGAGCCCCCACAGATAATGCCAATACACACAGCCGCATCATCGTATATCCCCTTCCCTCCTTTGAGTGCGGCGGCCTCTGTGTGTGGGTAATCGGCTCTGATTGTTTTGACTGAGCAGCGCGACTCTAGGAGTAGCCCTCGCTTATCAGGCATCTCCGGGACCTGGAGGAGATGGCGGCATGTGTACGCCATATGAGAGCCGATCGTCGATCGCCGATCTGACTAATTTCTGTTTGCCAGATAAATGACTTATCAGCGGGCTCAGTTGGGCCGGACCCTCTCTAGTCGATCGAAGATTACAGCATCGGGGGCTTTCCCGGCTAATCGAAGCATTCGCTCTCTCTTTTTCCAGCTGGTCATTGACGATGTAACGTTGAACAACTCCGGTGAGAAATTCCTGCAGAACAAGGAGATGTACCCGCCCTACAAGCCCTTCAAGATAGTCCTCACGCCGGAGGGCGCCATCTCGCATGTGGTCTTCAAGGAAGCGGATCCCATTTGGAGCATGAACTTTAAGCGGGCCATTGCCTCCGTGCTGCAGTTCCAGATGAAGTCCAGCGGGGCATTTGTTGTGGATGAGGTGAGCTTGGAGTTATTACCTTAATGAATCTTCTTCCTACGTTTATAATTTAATGAATTAAAAATCCTCTCCCTTTAATTTTCACCAATAGCTTGGTATCCATGGCACCTGCCGCACAGAGTATTTTGTGTCCAACAAGACCAGCTATATCTCCATCCGCAAGACGCCGGAGCTGAAGACCTGCCAGCCCTACTCGGAGGCGGTGCACACCACTCGGAGCAACGTGCCGCCGAATACTTGCGAATATGACCACCAGAAGAGCGTGATCATCGGCAACGAGGCCGTCTACGGAATGCTGCCGCACAACGAGACGGGCTATTTCTTGAGCACGGCCCACGCCAAGGGTACCACCCTGATCCACACATTCGAGTCCACCGGGGAGGCGCAGTTCATCAACTCGGAGCTGCTGCTCAACTTCCAGAACGAGACGCCCATAGACAATCCCATCGATATTGAAACGTCAATGGGGCCAGAGCCCTCCAATCTGGAATTACAACCGCTGGACCCCAACGATCCGACAGGCGGAAGGAATCCTCAGCAGCAGGAAACGCTGGTTGCCCAGGCGGGCTCTCTGCTGGACATCTTGGCGGAGGGTCTCGAGAGCACGGAATTTAAGTTCTCCGAGCCGTACGATTCAACGCTCTCGGACGTGATCAAGTTACTCAGCGAGATGGACTTCGATTCGCTGACCAAGCTCTACCGCGAGGTGGACATCGGCACGTCGTACCGCCAGGAGACAATCCGAAATATCTTTCACGAAATTATACCACGCATCGGAACCAAGGCCTCGGTCTTTCTCACCCATCACCTGGTGGTGAATAAAATGACCAAGCCGCAGATAGCAGTGCAGCTGCTTATTCCAATGCCCTTTCACATTTTCGAACTCTCCGCGGAGCTGGTGCACAAGTGCGAAGATTTCCTCAAGATTGGGCCGGATCGCTCGGATGTGCGACAGGCAGCCATCCTCAGCTATGCCACCCTCATCCACAACGTGTACGTGGCCAAGGGCATCGACAAGGAAGAGTTTGAGGAGTATGTCCAGAAGTATTTCAATGCCTATCTGAGTAAGTGAATAATTTACTAATTAATTGTGCACTTTAAATTTTAATATTTAATATTGATGATTCCACCTATTCACAGGCGATCGCGACTTCGACCAGAAGATGCTGTACCTGCAGGGTCTGAACAACCTTCAGTTGGGCAGCGTGGCCGACTACCTGGAGCCCATCGTCCAGGATCCCAACGAGCACGAGGATCTCAAGTTCCAGGCAGCCTGGACGACTTTGGCGCTGGCAGACAGTCGGGCGGAGCGCATTTACGAGATATACTGGCCAATCTTCGAGTCTCGCAACGCCAGCCTGGAGCTCAGAGTGGCGGCAGTCACCCTACTACTAATCTCCAATCCCACTGCTGCTCGTCTGATCAGCATCCATCGCATCATCCAGAGCGAGACGGACCCGCACATGATCAACTACTACAGGACAACGGTGACCAGCATATCGGAGACGACCTATCCCTGCTACCAAAAGCTGTAAGTTATCCTCCCTTCCACTTAACCAACGAACACTTTAGTCTGACATTGATTTTATCAGACGCCGCCTTCTGTCCTACATGCACCGCCATCTGCCCAAAAAGCCGGAACCACGCTATTGGGTCACCGGCAACTACATCTTCGACTACCGCGACTCCAAGTTCGGAATCGGAGCGATGCTGCAGGTCTTCCTCGTAGGCGATCCCAAGTCTGATATGCCCGTGGTGGCCTTCTTCAAGTTCGACACCGAGGCACTCGGCAAGTTCACGGGTCAACTGGCGGTGAGTGAACCTCCTGGAAGTAAAATCAGCAAAGCTAAGCAATTAATTGCAACCCTCTTTTAGCTGTACATCAAAGCGCGCGGTCTGCCGGATACCATCCTGAGCAAGATGCAGTCGAGGAATGACACCGAACCGTTCACCTTCAAGAGCATCAAGACTCTTCTGGCCATGCTGCAGGCACCGATCGTCAACTCCAAGGACCTGCACCTGGAGTTCATCCTGCAGATGGAGGGCAAGACGGTTCTCTCTTACTACCTCAACCAGCGCATGTTCCGCCAACTGACCTACGACAACAGTAAGTATAGTGATCAGGGACCTTGGCCCCCAATTGAATAATCACTTGGATACACCCTTAGTTCTGGAGCGGATGCAGCAGATTATACGGACGGACAGTCACATCAATATGCAGACGGTGCGATGGCCTTTCATGAACCGCTACTCAGTACCCACTGTGCTGGGCACCTCCTCGGACGTCCTGCTGCAGACCACGGTCCTGACTTCACTGCGCGGCAATATAACCGAGCAGCGCACTCCGCCGATATCGAAGCATACATTAGAGATCGATGCCCGATACTCGTCGTACGCCTCAGTGCGCAGTCGCAGCTATAATCCGTTCCTGAACCTGGACCACGAGATCAACCGGGAGCAGGGCTTCCTTATCTACATCCCCTTTAGCAGCGAGCTAAACCTCAATGAGAGCGGCAGTAAGTGCCGGCGCTACTCCTTCTCACGGCCCCAGAACCTGACCAGCGGCCTGTCCTTTAAATCGCGAGCTGTGACCAAGACCAGGGGTTTGATAACCAAGACAGCGGCGGCGCCCTTCGAGGAGATCATGTTGCCCGAGAGTCGGAATGATGTGGTGAGTTTTTAAAACTAAAAAGTGAAACCGAAGTGAAGCTTACTTCTTCTGCTTAAAATTCTATTTAAGGTCCAGCTTTTCAATTACTCCATGCCCGATTTTGGGGTACAGATGGGCATCCACACGAACCTCAACGAGCTGATCAAGTACCGAGGGATGCTACTCAAGTCCGAGTTCACGGAAAAGTACGCTGTGCGTCTACAAAAACAATATTTCACCTAACGAATGTCCCTTTCCATTTACTTGCAGTGGCTTCTCCGGCAACATGGTGGTCAATGTCCTGATGTACGTTTTTGGCTTCACCCAGCTGAGCTCCATTCACCTGGGACACGATCGGAACTTTACCATGCTACTGTACAACGAAAAGGCCACCAGAGTGAGATCCACAGCCTGCTTAACTTTACAATAATTATGAATGAATTAAAATACTTTTCAGATCGAGGGCAACTTTTGTACGGAGGATGTGTTAAAGACGTCCGAGCTCAAGGGGAAGTTAATTGGCCTAACCCTTGAGCACACAGATAACCAACTGGAGGCGCATCCCGCCGAGGAGTCGGCTCATGTGAATGCTCTGCACAGATGGAACATCACCCTGGACGTCCAGGGCTCGACGAAATCCAACTGGTTTAAGGTGATTGGCCAGATACAACGCAACTCAAAGGATGACGAGGAAGACTGGAAGGTGAGTGCAATTCGTTCGATTTACTACGGGACAAATTTATTTAACCAAAGATGAGATGCTTCTCCTGTCGTTTCGGTGTCTTTCGTTCTGTCAGTGTTTGTGAATAGTTTAGTGGTGGTGGAATCGATACTTTTTTGGGCTGCGAAGCGGGCGGGTATCTGGGTATCTAACCCTCCTGTCCGGCTATTTCGAGCTCCTCCTCGGCATTGATTAGAGCGACAATGCCATCCTGGAGCGTTTTAACCAGTTCGAACTCCGTAAAGCCAAGACGTCGCTTGTTTGAGATGTCCATGATGCCATCTTCGTTGGCTTCACCATCATTTCCGCGTATCTGCAGCTGCAGCTCCTCGGCGAGGGCGATCAGGCGATCCTGGTCCTTGGAAAGCAGCGGCAAGCGGATATGGACCGAAGCGCGCAGTGTGGTCCCCACATTGGTGGGACATGCCGTTAGGTTTCCGTAACGCGGGTGGCGCACAAACGTCAGGCTTTTCTCAAGCTCTTGGAGCCCGTTGACCAGGCGGTTGTAGACGTCACCAAAGTCACCGCATGGCGCCATTGACATGATGCGCACATGGTCCTCACGATTCACCCAGATGACGAAGGTCTCGGCTGGATTATGGTAGACACCGCGACCAGTCGGCCAGAAACGATAGCAACCGGCGGTGGTCAGCTGCTCATCGCCTCGCTGGAAGAGTATGTGTCGTTTGACCATCTCTGCCTGTGTCTCGGCATCAATGTCCCCAATTGTCAAGTAGGAACCGATCAGTTCCCCGTCCATCGTTTCAGTAGCGGCGCGCACCCTGTCTTCTACTTCGATGAACTGTTTCTCCGTGAGTTTTGGGAAGAAGGGGAAGCCTTCAATGTTACGCGCCAGCCGAATGCGCGCAGACAAGATGTACTTGCGCTCTGGATCCAAGTTTTCAATCTCATCCACATTGCCAAAGTCGGCATCCTTCTGCAGCACATCGTTATCGTTCTCCGTCTGGCCGTGGTAATCCTTGATGATGGGGTCAAAGAGTTTATTGAATACGTCATAGCTCTCTGCATCCGCGGCGTATATGCCCACGGGAGCTTCGTGGTGATCAAATCCAGCCACTGCGCAATCGTATAGGTAGGCGTCCACAGGGGCCGAGGTGGTGACCAGCATGTACTCCTCCAGGAGCTCAGGGGTGAGGTATTTACGCAGCAACGAATTGACGTTCTCCTCATCATCCATGAGGGACTTGTATCCGGCAATAGTGAGCTCCTGGTACTCCTCCGGTGACTTTTTGCTGTACAATAAAAATGAGTTGAATTTATATAAAATTAAACCAATCTCAAGTACTTACATTTGTCCGCGCAACCGTTCCAGCTCTTGCTCCAGCTTGGTTATGTGCACCTTGGCCTCTTCGAGGTCGTTCTTCATGACGTCGTACTGGGCATCATCCGGACAGCTTTCGCACATAAACTTGCGCACAAAGCGGATGGCATCCTCGGGCTTGTTCTGCTCCTCGTAGAGTTTGATCAGCGCCTTGCTCAGGGCATCGATGACCCCAGCACGCTCCAGATACTTGCGGTATTGCACCCGTTTCGATTCAATCTGATCAACGGTTAAATAATACCTATATAGATTCAATAGCATTAGCTGGGTTTATCTCGACCCTTACCGAAGTCATTTTAAAACACGTCTGTTGAGTCCGAGGGGAAAGACAAGTAAACAAAAATTTATAAAACACAACGAAAATGGGATGCTCTCAGTCGATATGGCGGGTCCGAAAGTCTTTCGACAGCACTTGAGTTTTTTCCGATTTTTGGCGCGTTCTTACAAAAACAAAAATATATTGAAAATTTTTCCCAAAAGTTTACGACGAGAGAAATTCGTCCGAACGGTATCGTTACTGACTGCCTTCTACGACTGAGCCCTGCCTCGGTGCCGTATTGATCAAACGAGGCGAGGTACGACGCCAGGCCTACCTGCCAGCTTGCTCCAGTCAGCCCGGTTGCCAGACTCGGCTCGGGACGCATACTTCCCCCGGAATGTGGGCCACCAATTGCGGCAACTGCTCGAGTCGATGGGTGGGTCTATGGCTGGATGGGTCCTTGCCTTGTGTAATAAACTGGCACGCAGAACGAAAGGTGGGCGGCAGGCAGTCAGGATGTGTGTGTGGGCCCGCTAATCGTTGCCACAGTTGTTGTGGCCCCATTGTCTACCGTTTCGTCATGGTAATGGGGGCCTCCCTGATGGACTCCCCAGCATTAAGCCCTGGCTGTCTTGTCTCTACGCTGTTGGCCGGCATTGTACCTAAGGCAAGAGCAGTACAGGGTGTCAAAGCCGCCGCCTAATGAGAGCACTTGACTCGTGCCGGGACTCAAGTCCATTGTTGACTTACTACCATGTAGCTTCTAATGCATGAAAACAACCCACAGTTGGGGGAACAGGGATAGCAGCCTAGAAGGCTAATGTAGAATATGTTTAGGAAATGCATAAGTATATATATATACAAATTATGTATTTAAATATCTTGTTTCACTTGACCATTTTTAGGCCTGCACCAAGTTGACTTACGAGCCTCTGGTATTCACCAAACGACCTCACACACTCAACGGCAATGTGGTGTTCGGCGTGGCCACAGTGGAGGGTGAGTGCCCGGAGAAGGGGTCTGCAGTGCAGTTTGCAGCTCGAGCTGGGGTAAGTACAAGGGCTGGAGTAAGAACTTCCAGCAAGGGACGACCGAATGGGAGTTAATAACATGCATCATTCCAGCCATCAGAGCATGCCCGTGCCTTCCTGAGCTCCGAGACGAGTTCGCTTTCCGACTTCTGTCCCAAGGAGGTGCTGAAGTTCTCGCCAATTCCCACGTCCAAGTACTGCAAGCGTAGCAATTTCGAGAACTTTACATCGATCACGCAGTACGACATGGACCTGAAGTTCAATAATGTAAGGGTTATAGATAGAACATAAAATAAATAAATCACCCTAATTCATTCCTAATAGATGCCCGCCTGGTTCGAATTGTGGTCTAACCGACTGGACCATCTGGTTTCCGCCTTATCCGCCGATAAAGTGGACAGCTTGCACATGGGCGAGGAGATCAATATCTCCATGCACACACCCCACGACTACTTCAGGCTAGCGGTAGAGGTCAACGGGGCCAAGTGGCGCTTCCACCAGATTCCCTTCTTGTACAAACTGGACTCCAAGTTTGATGCCTCCCACGAACTCACCTACGACTCGGGTCTGAAGCGCTCCTGCTCAGTGATCAGCGGGATGGTCAGCTCCTTTGATGATTACCTAATTAATCTGAAGGAGATTGAGACGCGCCCACAGTGCCTAACTCTTCTGGTGGCCGATTGCTCGCCGCAGCCGCGAATGGCCGTATTTGTGACGCCATCGGCTGAAAATGGATTGGCCGGCAACTTTGGATTGCGCATTCATATAGGTCAGAATTTCTTCGATTTGCACTCTAGAAGCAACAGCAGCCAGCCCACCACGACTGAGCCAGTCTTCATCTATCTCAACCAGGACCAAACACCGCACGATGTGCGCCAGAAGCCCTACCAGTGGCCCCTCGAGGCTAGCGACTACGATTTTCGGTGGGAAATACATCATCATTATAATTTTCGAATATAATACTAAGTATTATTTTTCTTTTTCCACCCTCTTCGCAGCGTGGAGCTGAACGAACAAAATATCCTGATCGTGGAGTGCACGCAGCTGAGTTCCACCATTCAGTTCGACCTGTACAATATCCTCAACTTCGAGATATACGGCTTGTACAAGCACCAGATGTGCGGCCTCTGTAGCAAGCCGGTGAACCGCATGCAGAACTACACGATCTGCGAGCTGGAGTCGAGTAGCACCCCAACGCCCGTCCAGCTGCCAAAGTCCTCCTCCGACGTAGTTGTAGTCGCATCCTAAGCATAATGTGTGTGTTTAATCTAAAATAAAAAGGAAGAAGAGGCCCAGCAGAAGGGGAGAACATGCAAATCCCAGCCAGGGCTTGGACTATTATTTATGTAACTTCAATAACGAATGTTTGCCATATAATGTTTATTGTTTGTTAATAGTCAAAATGCATATTTGAAATATATATGTAGGGCTTGAATACGAAAAGGAAATCTCTAGCGAGAAAATAACAAAAATTATAGCATTCTTCAATTGCTTCTCTTTGGTTTTAAAATTAAATGTTAACTTTCTCAGTTATGATATAGAAGAAAAACTAAAGAAAAATTAAGGATATAGTCAGTAGTTGCAATAAATAAAAAATAGCTTCCTTCTTCGATGGGTGAATTAACGGTCCTCGTCACGATATCCAATTTGCCTCTCGCGATCGCGATGCAGCTGGGTGAGCAAGTGCATTCGCAGCTGCGGAACCGATTCCAACTGTTGGTTGCACAGCTTGCAGGTCACTGGCTTCAGGACACCTTGGCTGGAATAATTATTATTACCATTAGCAAGCTTATGTAACAAGTGATGTTGAGACTGTCTTACTAGGTGCGCCAATTGTGCAACTCTTCGCAGTTTGACACCAGCATCGTAACGCTGTCTGTGGGCTCCTCCTGCAGCTCCGGAATGGCGTGCATGGGGAATATGGAACGCTTGCCAAACGGCTCCGCCTGCGGTTCCAAGTCCTCCAACTTCTCCCACAAGTAGTCTGCGTTGCTTGAGTGCACCTCAATGTAGCTGCGATCTTTGCTGATGAGACTTTAGGGTAGAGTTCAGAAGGATTAGTATATGCATGACTTGCACCGCGATCTCTCTTACCGGAAGACCAGCGACCGCAGCTGGTTGCATACTTTGGCGCGATCATGTACGCCCAAGGTGGGAAATTCCTCGCCCTCAAAGTTAAAGAAGACGCTATCAATGTTGTAGCGCATTTGGTTGATCTACGGTGTACATTAAAAGGTGAAATAAATGGTCTTGATAATCGCAGCCATATCCCTTACCAGTCTCACATCGTCCTCGAGTATCTTCACATCCAAATTGATCACCGTGTCGTGCTCCTCAAAGTAGGGCTCCATGGTCTCAGGATTGTAGCCCAGCCCCGCCAATATGGACACATACTTGGTGCCATAACGATTGCACTTGATCTGCATTGTGGGGCAAAATAGCATGACCATCAGTGCTCCAAATCCGTGCACATTCGGCATCAGTGTGGTGCCGCGGGCAGTCAGAATTTGGCCATCGGTACTCTCCACCGTGGCATGGGAAACAATCAGCTGATCGTGCTGATCCTGAGGATTGTCGTGTAGAAGCACGGCGTTCACCGAATTTCTGTCGATTTTCACGGTTTTCCACATGCCCACACGAATGGTGGACTGCATCGAGGTCTCCAGGGGGCTGTAGGGTCCCTTCAGCAGCGCCACCGAGTGGCATCTGTCCAGCGGTGGCGGTGGCAGATCAAGATCCTTTGGCATCTGACAGGAGCGCAGATACTCTTCGTTTAACTGCTGCCGCTCCGCCGAAGTCAAATGCCTGACGGTCTCCTGCTTGCGTGTGCGAAAATCATGATCCATTCGGGACATGTAATCTTCGTCGGCGCGACGGGCCAGCTTCAGCTCAACGATCTTCTCGTTGAGAATACCGTCGCGCATGTGAATGATAACGGCGGCCACATCATCAACCAGGGAGTATACCTCCACCTCGAACCGGCCGCATTTCCCAAGCGACTCGAGCATTTCGTTGGCCTTTTGGGACCACTGATTGCTGCTGCTAATCACCGATGATGGCTGCACCAGCGCCAGTCGGCACTCGAACATCCGGGGTGGCAGGTCCCCGTACTGGCGCTGCAGCTCGTCCGGCATCAGCCGAAGCATCTCCATGGGAAGCAACACAACGTCGCCATAGTCGATGAAGCGAACATAAAACTTGGGCTGGCGATTTGTTTGGTTCTCCGGTCGGATCACCAAGGCACGTTGGAAGTGAGAACAGCGCTTGGCCAGCACCATCAGGCCCTTGGTGATGGCACCCGCATTGGCCACATGAATACTTAGCTGTTGCGGGCTGTTGAAAATCTCAGTCATGTTGCGAATGCACTCGCCCAAGGACAGCGGTTGAAAGTAGAACTTGCCGCAGTTGTAGATCTGGTCAATTGGTTAATCCTGGTTAATTGTGAAACTCATGAGGATTGCCGTCCGACTTACGTGGGTAATCTGGCCAGTAACTTTCTTGTCGTACACGGAGGGCAGGGCCAGAAGCTCCACGTTTACGGCCTTGGAAGGTGGAATCCAACGACCCTCGATCACATCTCCAATCTTGCGCTGCTGAACATAGTTCATGGCGATGTTGTGTCTAAAATGGGAAATGTAAAATGTAACAAATAAGGAAAAACTATCGAAAAGTAAATGAAACTTTACTCCATTATGCGCAGTGGACGACACAGCTTGTTAAGCCTCATCCTAACCGCCTTATAGACTTCGGTTTTGACTCGGCCAGGCACACGGACCAGCTTGGAGGTGTTATCACTGCAATCGTCCTGCTTGAATGTGACAAACACCTTCTGGGAGCCGTGCTGGAAGGTCACATCCATGTTCTCGGGCGGTATTTTCGCCTCCTGAAAGAGTTCCTTAATTCGCCTGGTATACAGCTCGCCCATGTAGCCGGGCTTGAAGTTGGTGAAGTAAACGGTACGGCACGGATCTAGGCCTGAGATAATTTGATACATATCGCGATCCGGTTCCACAGTTGCGTTCTTGGAGCGTATAAAATAGTTTGGATAGAAGGCGCCGGCAATAATAACTTGGAGAATAATCATCTTTTCCATGTCGCTTATGTTATGGTTAGCTTCGGAGGGAATTGGGTGCAAGCCCAACTTGTAGCACCGAGACCGTAGTTCCTGTACCAGCAGGTGCATCTCCTTCAAAGATCGCAGGGAGACATGGAATCGCTTCGCCCATGTTCCAGCTGAGTCCTGCTGGAGGCTATTTTCGCACATGTTTAAATAAGTCTACAAATAATAATAAGAATTTTAATTTAAATTTATGATTTATCCTAACCCCAAATCTTACATTGTATATGCGCCAGATGCCCACCAAGTCGGAGCCAGAGTCATCGGAAAAGATGTAATGCATCCAAAATGCCTCGAATTGACGACTGCGCCCTGGGTCTGTATACAAGGCTCGCAACGAAAGTCCAGCGGCTGTAAAAAATAGGGACATTTTTAAGGGGGTTAGGTTAATGTTGGCCATCTTTTAAAATTAAATTTTTCAAGAGAAAACGACTTGCGCTCAACTAAGCCTAACTTCGCTAATTAATTAGATTCCTAAGTGCTTAAAGTTCACACTCACCAATGATGATTGCTTCGTCGAGTAAATTAAACGCAAAACCTAATATGATCAGCCGGCTCAGGCGAGTGTCCACCGGCAGGCGCGACATGATAGTACCCCAGAAGGTAATGTCGCCGTCCATCTCGTTATAAATACCATCTACAGTCGGAAACAAAGCGCCAACTTCCTTGAGCAGCAGTATTGTGTTTTGAATATCGGAGAGATTTGGTGGAGACAGGGCCAGAGCCAATATCTCAACCGGGGAACCCATGCCAAGCTCCTTGGCCTTCAGCACAGAGTTCTGGAGGGGTTGCCGCAGCATCTCCGGTATACCGAACTCCAACATTTGCTGTTGATAGAATGCCTTGGTGACCATTCGGTAGACACGACCACTTCGGAGACGACCCACGCGACCGGCGCGCTGGCGACAATTGGCCCTGGAGGCCCAGGTCAGACGGAGAGAGCTGAAGTTGGTGGCCGTATCGGTGACCAGCACCTTGGTAAGGCAGAAGTCGATGACGTACGACACATCCGGTACCGTTATCGAGCTCTCAGCAATGTTGGTTGTGAGAATAACCTTCCGGTATCCGGACGGCGAGGATTCAAACACACCCCGCTGATCTTCGGTGGACATAAGGGAGTAGCATCGCACAATATTAATTTTCATGGAGTTACTGTGGGAAAAAAAAAAGTATATAAAAAAAAGAAAATGAGACAAAAATGTGCCAACTTCGCTTACTCTTGCATCACCAAATGGGTAATACTGTCCGCCATGCAGTCAATCTCATAGATACCGGGCAAAAAGATGAGCACGGCCCCTTGGCGCATGGCCTCGTGGTAGCTCACGCCCGAATGCCTCTCCGCCTGACGTTCCATGTTGTCAATGACCAGAATAATCTTCACCGCCGCCTTGTAGCCGTCCTCCAGGATTCGCGGTTCGTACTGTTCCTCCACATCGTCTTTCCACTTGATACTGGTCAACTGATCGCGGTAAAACTTCTCGATCGAGTGTTTACGTCCATGACTGGTGCTGATCACTGGTGGCATCGAGTTCCTGGTGGCAAAGTAATCGGCAAAGCCGCGAGGATCGATCGTAGCCGACATCAGGATGACCTTTACGTGGCGCGAGTTGGTTGCCAGCAGGCGACGCACCACAATGAGCAGGAAATCCATATCCTGATCGCGCTCGTGCACCTCATCGAGCACGATATGGGTATAGTGAGTCAAGGTCTTATTATGTATCAGTATGTTCAAGAGCACTCCCGTGGTGCAGTAGAGCAAACGGGTGTCCTCTCCAGTCTCCCGGTGCAGGCCCACCTGGTAGCTGCACACCGTGCGCGGTTGCCATTGGCGCTCCTCGCAAACCCTGTTTGCAATGGAGATGGCGGCTATGCGACGCGGCTGGGTTACCACAATGTTGCAGTACTGGCCGGTCCTGAAGCCCTCGTCAAGAATGTATTGAGGGACCTAAAGTAAGAATTGAGTTTAAAATAAGCGCCAAAAAAGTATTGTTTCAACACTTAAGCGTTATCGGTAATCGGTTTATCGGTATTTAGTGCTGTAAAACGTGTTTTGCCGGTTGTCCAAATTGTTTACATTTTCAGAAATCATTAAAAATGCCCTTAGAAATCTAAAGCAGATTGAATAAATGGAGTTGAACATCTACGACGACTGCTGGGAGCTAGTACAGCGCTTCCAGCGATTGGTAAACGATGGAGACAATCTGGAGTTCGAGGTATTCTGCCGCTGCTGGCGGGAACTGCAGCTGCAGCACCTCTTTACCTGCCAGTCGAACCACACGGAGGTGATAGCCACCACTCTGGCGGCCCTGCATGTGGCCAAGCGGCTGGCCTGCTCTCGGCGCAGCTGCGGAGATACCTTCTCAGCCTCGCGCTCCCAGCGGATTGCTGGGTTCTATTTGCTCTACGTGATCTACCACAAGCAGCCAACCCATAAGTTCGTCAAGATCGATGTTTCACCACGCACTTGGCAGGAGATGACCGACTATGTACTGCTCCTGCGAGAGGAGAGTCCGGAGCGTAAGGACACACAGCAGGTGGCCCACATGTTCTGGCGTCTCGTGCAAGAGCAGGCCTTCCGGTACACGGCTTTGGACTACTGCCAGGGCTTGGATAACCTGGCGGACTACGACAGGCTGGAGAGTATAGTGGGGGCCAAAAGGGGAAAGCAGATGGTGAAGCAACAGCGACCCAAAAACGTGAGCCTAGCATACGAGCTGGAAGCCGCTCATGAACTGGACATGACAAGTCAGTCATTCTGCGATCTCGAGTCAGCCTACAATAACCAGAAGCAGAACCTGCCCGGCCAACAGCTGGCTCTGCCTTCCACGAACATATTTGGTCAGCTGCAAGAGGTCTTTGGAGATATTCAAAAGCTGTTGGGTGGCAACAAAAATCAGCCTGCAGCTCAGGCTGAGACGGACCAGGACCAGAGTCCTACGAGCTCAAACAAAAACCAGCTGGAGGTGCGACAGCAGGTTCGATTAAAGGCCATGTACGGCGAGGAGCAACCGCAACAGGCGGTGGAACTGGATTGTGCGCTGGAGGTAAACGAAGCACACCAGCGGAGAATGTCGTCGGCCACCGTTTTCCAGCGGGCACTGCCCGAGGATGTGCAGCGGGAGTACGAACTCTATGAATTCAGTGACAATGACGACGACGAGGCGGTGAATGAAATGGTGGGCGAGGAAAATGAAGTCACAGAGGAAGAGGTTCAGCAGCTGCTCGGCTCCTAAATGTACACAATCTCTTAAATGTAAAATAATTCTCATTTTTGATGTAATGAAATAAAAGTGATGAATAAATTTAAAAAACAAGATAGAAGACTTGCTTTGGCAAACAGAATTGAATGATTCTATTAATCATTAATAATTAATGCAATATGCAACTACCAAACAGATATCTTGATATAAACTAGCTTTATTACCTAGATACTGTCAAGAAAAATCGGAAGACATTGCGCCACACCATTTAATTGTTTAAATTACATTTATGCGAAAGAGACATAAAAAACTAACAATAGCTCCGACATGCGGTCGTCGTCTCTCTATTTTTCAATCAGTTTTGATCTCTAGAAGTTAAATAAAATCAAAATTTGCCAATACCGACTAGCCGAATACTCTCAACCTTTGACAAAACAAATAAATAGTACATCTGCTTTTTTCCGATTTATAGGAATTAGGACATTGGGTCAAGGCTTGCAGCAATGCCAGAGTTGTCAAGTACAAACATAAATGGGTGTTTTCACATTGATTTAAAATTCACATTTAAATAGAGATTTAATAACATGAGCAAGACTTACCTGCGTCGTCTTGCCGCAACCTGTCTCGCCCTTCAGAATGACGACCGGATTTGCATTGATTGCCGTTATGATCTCCTCGCGCTTGGCGTAGATCGGCAAGTTTTTGTCGCGGTTGAGATTAAACCTGTACTTTTTGTAGTACTCCTCATCCGTGCGGATCTTGATATCCTCGTCGTCGTCGTCATCGGTGTCAATGTCGTCTAGAGTGCGGTTGCGAGAGCGTTCGTTGCCCAGCAGCTAATAAAGTGTCGAATATAATGTTTATAATTGCAGACTCGGCGATTTCGTCATGAGAATTCCTTACCCCATCCAAGCGCTGCTTCTCCTTGGCCACGATTTCCCCCGCGTACTCGACGCCAAAGACCTCGCGTTTTGGAGGCTTGGATTCGTTGGTTTCCGTGGTCATACTGTTCACATCGGAACTTATACACCCACTCGGGGGTGCCACTTCTCGCTTGCACTCCTTCGAAAAGTCGAAGAAATCCATTACCTCTTCATCCATGATGATTTTCTTATTTCTGCGCAGTTGTCTGAAAGAGGAGTTTTGTCGCCGCGAAAAAAACTTAAAACGGTAAAAAGCAGCGGTAAAAAGCAGCGTCGATTTCAAGAAGTTATCGATCATTTATTCGAATATATCGATGTATCGATAGTTTTTCTAAATGATACGATTTAACATATATTTATTTAAACCAATTGCAATTTTATGTTAAAGATTATATTATAAATAAGCGATACTATATTTTTGAAAATATTCTACAGCCCAAAATTATATTTTTTATAGCAATTCAAATATATATGTGTCGCAGATCTCAGAATAATTTAAATTCCATGAACGCTAAATATATTTGGCGCTCACTTTTTGTTGTCGCTGAACATACGCAGCTGCGACATTAGTTCCTGGTAAGACAGGGATTCTGGGAATTCCTTGTTGCTACACTCGTAGCGCGACGGCATTGCCAGCTCTCTAAAAGAGTGGCATAACCGTTGAGTGAGGCCCGGTCGCCCAAGAGAGAAAGGGACAGATAATCGAATAGTACTGGTATTGTGAATTTGAATTTGGCTCTTGGCGCGATCGGGACTGACTGTGCTATCGATATGGCAGAACCCGAAAATACTCCTTCTCCGACATATGTCTATTAAAGAATATATTAAAATATTATATATTATTATTAAATCATCGCTTATATTTTCTGCTTGATTCATACAAGCTTTTTAGTTAATCAGACGACATTTTCGGTAATTCAGTGATTAAGGGAATACCCTCACCAATTGATTTTCCTATACTATCGCGATAGGACAAGAATACCCTAATCAATACCGAATTTTCGCAAGTTGGCAGTTCTTATTTCGATTTCTGGGAAATTCAATAGCAAAACAATTTTTTGGCAATTTTAGTTTAATTGGGCCGCAAACATGTCGCTAACTATGCGAATTTTCAACGCATCGCGCAATGGTTAGTGAGTTTCCTAAAGGTTTCCCCCCGCTCTCAGCGCGATTCGTGGAACCGTTCAAAATTCCGTAGAAATCGCGTCGAGTGAGGTTATGTAAGCTTATGTCATAGCAAAACAAAGGACCAAATCGGTCATATAAAGCTTCCCGGCGATGTATAAAGGCGCGATTTAATGGCAAAATGACTCGCCCGCAGGTCAGCGCATGTTTGGCAGCCAAGGGGCCCGGCTGATGGCCGCACGGACGGAGCCGAAAGACATCGTCGAGGTGCCCAAGGGATATGTGTATGTAAACAACAAGGAACTGAGCATGGAGTTCGCGGACATCACGGACCGTGCGGCGACCACCATGTTCTTTGGTGAGCTCTTCCGCGGCTTCGCCGTCACCCTGGCACACATCTTCAAGGAGCCGGCCACCATCAACTACCCCTTCGAGAAGGGACCTCTGAGCCCGCGCTTCCGTGGCGAACACGCTCTGCGTCGCTATCCCAGCGGCGAGGAGCGCTGCATCGCCTGCAAGCTGTGCGAAGCCATTTGCCCCGCCCAGGCAATCACCATTGAGGCAGAGGAGCGTGCCGATGGCAGCAGGCGTACCACTCGCTATGACATCGACATGACCAAGTGTATCTACTGCGGATTCTGTCAGGTGAGTGGTGATTTAGTCTCGTTTCTGATAAAGAACTGAATTCAAAGTGTCATTATTTATCGCCTGCAGGAGGCCTGCCCCGTGGACGCCATTGTCGAGGGTCCCAACTTCGAATTCTCCACGGAGACGCACGAGGAGTTGCTCTACAACAAGGAGAAGCTGCTCTGCAACGGCGACAAGTGGGAGTCTGAGATAGCCTCCAACCTGCAGGCCGATCATCTCTACCGTTAAAGTTGATTGTACCATTTAGAATTCCTTGTTTAGAACGATTTTCCAATTAAAGATCGTTGCCCTGGCTGCGTCTTAAGCGATTGTGTTGTTGTACAGTGATATGCAAAACATCCTAGCATAATACAATGAAATTATTTATATTAACAGTTGAATCATTTGCACTTAAATGGGTTAAATTACTTTAATAATTATCATTGAATTGGATTCCAACTCAAGCTTTAACCGATTTTACTAGGTAAAAATTCATAATTTAATCAATACGAACGATTATTATGAATTTAAATAATTTATTTATGTTAAACGCCTTCTGAGGCTACAAACGAAATCTAAAATTTAGAATGAACTCATTGAATAATTTACTGGCCCGGTCCCGCCAGGCTCTTCTCCATAAACTTCTTCTTAGCAAAGCAAGTCCACCATTTGTTTGGCTTGCCATCCTCCGTGCTAAAGACCTTTTCCACCACCCGGTTGCCGGTTTCATGGCGCAACTGCAGGAGGTACTGCCGCATTAGATCCGCATCCTGGGCGGATTGCGGCTTGGCATAGACGGCGTTCAGCGGGAAACCGGCGTCGCCAGGTATGTCGAACTTGGAAATGGCCAGGCTGTACATGTCCTGCTGACCCTGAGCCTTGTTGGTGCAGCGATTGAGCCTCTTCAGGCACTCGGTTATGTAGAGCGTCACGTAGATAAGCACACGATCCACATCGGACTGAAAAGGCACGTTTTATTAGTTGCTTGAATTCCAGTTTGTTTTGAAGCCCAGCTTCACCTTGATCTCGTATGTGCGAAAGAATACATTGGCTTTGAAAAAGTACAGTGACTCATCGATGATGTCGCTCTCCACATTGGCACTGGGCGCTGGTCCTCGCACCTGCGTCCGCAGCGGCAGGATGGCCATGTTGCCCACCTGATGGCGGGACTCTGTGATCTTCGAGTGGTAAGCCTGTAAACATTGCAAATAGTAAGGGAAATGCCTTTTCCGGAAAAGTGCTGGCCTGGCAGGGGGCAAAACAGCATTGGGAGGCCAAGTAAACACACTTCTGCCATTCTGGTGGCTCAACAAGCGCGACCTACTCACCGGCATGCTCAGACTTGTAAAAATGTTCCTTTAAATTTATGTTATTAAAGTGTTTTTGGTTTTTGTTTTAATTTTTAGAGAAAAACAGATTTGTAGGCGTCCCACCTGCTTTTCAGTGTGGCTGCCTTCTTTTATTTACCAAAACCCACAAAAATTGCCCGAACTTGGGATTTTTTACCAAAGCCGCTGGTCATACCTATTTTAACGGACAGACGATTTTAAATAGTTTTCGAAAACTTGTTTTCCAGTAATTACCTTTTAGGCTTAATGCAAAGGGCCCAAAAATAACACTAGAATGACATCCAAAATCCTGTCTTAAATGTCAAAAAATTTACTAAATATCTCGAACTCAAAACAAAAATTTTTTATGTATGCCTCGCACCCAAATAATTAGCTTTGGGATCCCTCACACTCCAGAACGTGGCCCAACATCGCCGGTCAACTTAGTTTCAGCTAAGAAAAACGAACGGACATGGCCTACAAGAGCTTGTGTCTGGAATTGGAGACGCCAAGCAGTCCGGAGACTCCATCTGTGGCTCTTCCTCCACCGACTTCTGTCGCCACTCTGCGGGCCAGTGCCACGGAGTTTGTGCCACAGGTGCCACAAGCCAGCGACCGAGTTCCAACTGAATCTGAAGATGAACAGGAAGATTATTCGGAAGAGGATAGATACAATGTGGAGCGCACTACTTTGAGTGCTGTGAGTCTGTGATTTTTCATTTCAATATTGGCTTTTTTACTCTATAATAATTTGAATAATTTGAATTTAATGTATCTAATATTAATAAATTATTAATAATGAATGCCCTTATATCCGCCTTGTTAGCCCAAGCCCGCAAGCTATGGACTTCGCTTCTATAATAGCCATTACGAGCCCGAGAACGGGAGCGACAGCCACTCAGTTGAGGCAGAGAAGAGGAGAAGGTTCAGCTATCGGACACCCAAATTCCGACCGAATCTGGGATCAACCGGTCGTGTTCCCAAGGTCGAAACTACATTTTTGCCCTCAGCAAAGCCTCCCAACGAGCTGGCCAGCGGACAGCCGCACTTCAAGGGTCCCTACATGCCGCTCCTCCAGCACCGCATAGCCAATGCCGATGCCTACGGCCTCATCCGGGGTCCCAACGAGCGGAGCAGTATGATGCTGGACGACATGGTCAAACAGCTGGCCCGCCTAGACCACTGTCCCTTCAATCTGAACACGTTATTCCGAAGCAGAGGCCCACAAAATCCAACATCCTAGATGCCCGAGCTCAGAGGTCAATTTATAAAATTTTTAAAGTTAACTGATCACAGACGACGCTGACTTTACAGTCGTCGATTCATTCAGATCTTTCAGTTGTTGAATACAGTTCTTAGCGTTAACAATAGCAAAGCCAATATAAAAATGGGTAAAAAATATAAAATGAAGTCGGTGGCAAACCAAAAGAAGGTGAGTGTTAGCAAATAAGATATATTGAGCGAAAGTCATTGAATCCTCGGAGGCACTTTACCAAAATTACCAAAACGTTTATTAAAAGCTCTCCATTTCCATGCTAGGCTGTCCCGAAGGGGGGTCCTGAGATTGCATCGAAGGAACCTGAGACGGCGAAGGCCAAGGAATCGAAAGTTGTCGATTCAAAGTGCATTGTCCCAAAGGATAATCCTAATATGGTCGATACAAAGGAGGCCGACAAGCACTTGGAGCAAGTAGCGGCCATTGCCATTATGCCGCTGCGCTTGGACCAGCATATCCAGGGCATCAAGGCCATCCAGAAGCAGCTCTTGGCGCTTCACCAGCAGCAGGTGATAATACTCGACGAGTGCACCAATCTCCTTCAGGAACTAAATGCCATTAAGCCGCGCAATGATTTGGAGGTGAAGTTGGTCTTGGACACGTTTGTTGAGATCAAGGACAAGCTATCAGATGTGTTTGGGCACTTTCTGCCCGCTCAGTTGGATATTTTAAAGCAGGTGTTGGGAAAACCCAATGATATAAAGCCCAAGTAAATTAGTATTCAAAGCTTGAATAAAGGAAGACGCCACAAATCTTAATTTCCTTGGCAAACTTAATTTACGTCTTTTATATTTGAAAACCGATAATTTCTTATTTTTCGATAGCTTTATTTGCCTATCGTCAACCGACCATCTCTTCGCAGTAGCGCGTAAATTTGGAAAACTTTTGTTAAGTTAAAATGAATCCTCCGCCTACCCGTGGCCGGGCTCCCTCGCGTTTTGTGCGTGGACGTGGCCGTGGAGGCGGCGCCTACCGCCCATACTTCTACTTTCGGCGGAACGGACGCGTCATCCCTGCGCGCGGAAACCGGCAACCAAACCGGGAGCAACCTGACACTGGAGCCGCGGCAACGGCTGATCCGCCGGCTAACCGGCAACCGAGAGGCTGGAACCGTGCATCCAGCAAGCGGGGTCGCGATGCCAATCTGGACTGTAGTTTCCTGCGGCCCGAGAACTATGCCGCTCCGGAGGACGGACTCCAGGTGCAGAGCATCGCCGTGGACAATCCGCGGGCGTATCCCGGCTGGCGGTTGTACTTCCTGCGTGACAATTACGAGGAGGGCAACGAGCTTGCCCGGAGGATCATGGCCGTGGAAGCCCATTTCCAACGCAATCCCCACGACTACGATTTAGTGCGGGCCCGTGACCGGGGCTTCTTCAGCCTGCCTGCCGACGGCATCCTCAAGGATGCGCAGCTGATGGATATGTGGCCTGGGCTGGCCGATGATCTTCGAGAGCATCCGCTTCGCACCCTATCCACTCTGTCGCTGGCCATGCACACTGTGGTGACGAACCATCTTCTGGACGCCAATGAAACCACGGTGAGTGTTGTCTCCACGGCAGAGCAGTACATTCCGCCGCTACAGACGCATGTGCGCAAGATCTACGTGCGACCAGAGAAGTTTGTGGCCGTGGAGGCGATGAGCGAGATCAGCCACGACCGTGTGGACACTCTCTTCGCCGTGCGCGGCATCATCACCAACGTGGGCGAGCCAGGCTACAGCCTCGCATGGCAGGCCTTTCGCTGCACTCGCTGCCAGATGGTGATGGCGATGCGGCAGCGCGGCACCTTTCAGCCCCGTCCCTATCTGTGCAAGCGTCAAGAGTGCGTGGCTCGCGAAGGATTCCTGGCGCTGCGCAGCTCTCCGTACACTCGACTAGTCATCAGACAAATCATTCGCCTGGAGGAGTCCAGCCTGGCGCAAGTCCACGACTACGAGAGCAGCCTACCGGGGGAGATGGACGTGGAGCTGCGACACGATCTAGTGGATGCAGTTCGCGTGGGCCAGGAGGTCGTCGTAACCGGAGTGCTGAAGCTCCAGGAGTTGGGCGAGGATGCGTCGTCGGCAGACGCTTCTAACCAGATGCGGGCGTATCTGAAAGCGGTTAGCGTCATGGATTCGGCGAGCATACAGCAGGAGTTCAGTGAGAGCGATCTAGAGGCCATTGCCGTAATAAATGCGGAGCCCAATAGCTTCAAGCTTCTGGTTCAATCGATTGCCCCGGAAGTCTACGGGCATGAGCTGCCCAAGGCCGCCTGTCTGCTCTCTCTCCTTGGAGGCAGTGGTAGACCCCAGGCAGAGCCAATCAACGTTCTTTTGGTGGGTGATCCCGGCATCGGCAAGACCAAGATCCTGCAGAGCTGCGCACAAATTACGGAGCGAGGTGCCCACGTGAGCGGAAAACGAGGGGCCCATTCCGCCCAGCGTTTGGGTGTGACCTTTGCTGGGCGAAACAAGCGCGTTCTGCAGGCGGGTGCCTTGATGGTGTCCAGTGGTGGCGGCCACTGTACCCTCGACGACGTGGACAAGCTGGCCTCCAAGCAGGCGGTGCTGCTCCAGTGTATGCAATCGGGTGAACTTAATCTGCCGCTGGCCGGAGCCTTTGCCTCCTTTCCGGCAAAATCCTCGATTATCGCCTGCGCGAATCCACAACGAGGACAGTACGACGAGGGGCGCTACTTGCTGCAGAATATACACATAGCGCCGGCATTGCTGCGGGAATTTCACCTTGTCTACGTACTGCTGGACAAGCCTTCTACCGACAGGGACATGTCTCTGACTGCCCACGTGAGGGCACTCCATGCTGGGGCCAAAAAGCGCGCCAGGATCGCAGCTCGTTACGCACTGAAACCTAAGATGAGTGAGTCCATGTGTCAGGCAACCTTCCATGTGACGGCAGCGGGAGCGGATGAAAATTCGATTAAAGCTGAGGACGACAACGATAGCATAATGCAGCAGGACTACGATCTGGACAGGCGCCTGGAGCTGTTGCCCGAGGACGGGGATGTGGACTTGCTGCCACCCATTCTGATCAAGAAGTTCGTGGCTTATGCCCGCCAGCAAGTGAGTCCGCTCCTGAACGAGGAGGCTTGCCATGACATCATGCGATTCTTTTTGGAGATTCAACAAGGCGGTGCCCAGGAGAATGGCGAATCTAGCCAAATTGGAGCGGGGTGAGTGCCAGCTGCCAGCTTTTGGACGGTAGTAAATTTATTTAAGTTATGTTATCTTATTCTAACTAAAAGTAATCTATAAGTTAGGATTTGGGTGTTATCGCATTAGCTTAAGGAAGGAGGAGACGGGTAGCTCCAGGAAGATGGCCAGCAGGAAGGAGCACAGATAGGACACGGTAACCGTGAACAAGATAAAGGTGAACTGTGGGGCAAAAGTAAGACGAAAGTGAGAAATTATTCACTGTTTTTTACCTAAGTTACTAAGTTTTACTCACCATCATGCCAGTGCCAAAGTAAATTGGCTCCCGCACTGTGGCCAAGACGATTCGTGCCACCAAAAGGTGGATAATAAACGCTCCATACGTTAGTCGACCCAAGATGCGGAATATAGGCAGACAGGAAAACTTGCGGAAGATCCCTGCAGAAGTAATAAATATAGATTATAAAAGGAATTAAAAAACAAAAACCTGAAATCAATACTCACAGCCCACCTTGCCGGCCATGCCTACAATAAAGACGGCCAGGCCAAAGCCCCAGATATTCCGCTGGAGCCCGGCATACAAGGCTCCCCAAATGGCGGACGGAGCCACGTAATAATGCTGGAAGATGGGGTGGGCACTGAACATCCACAGGATGCCCACGGGAATGAGGGTGAACCAGAGTAGCTGGAAGCATTTTAGCTCCCGCAGCTTATACTGCCTTAGGGTCAACTGATCATAAACCAAGGCGGCCAGGACTCCACAGAAATAACAACCGAAATTCATCAAAGACGAAGTGTAGAACTCTGTGAACTGACGATCACCGATAAAAGAGTCCTTTTGGGTTCTGTTTTTGTTTAAAAAACCGTTGAGTAAGGCGGAAAATGAATGATATATATCGATTACTTACTGCGGCGTGGGTATAAATATGGGATAATAGTCCATAACATAGGTGAGAACCGCCGGAAGAACCACAAAGAAGGCCAGCACCCCGGCATAGAGTTGCTTGCTCCACTTGGCAAACCGGTGGCCCAGCATCAGCACCACCAAACTCAGGATAAAAGAGTGAGTGTCCGCTGCCAGATACCAACCCTGGAGCAGGCACTGCAGGAAAGGATTCATTACTTTACACCTCTTAAAGCCTTGAACAAAGCTATCCTTACCCGCTCGTCCGTTCGCACAAAGTTGTTGATGTACAGGAGATTCGTCCACCAGTTGCGCCGGCAGGAGAGTTGCTCCCGCTCAAAGATGTGCCGCCACAATGGACCACCAGCGTTATCAAAGTAAACGCCGCTCATCAGCAGGACAAAGGCATAGGGAACGGTCAGTCGGATGTACCGGAAGACGTTGAACTTAACGAAGAGCAAGGAGTACTGGACAAAGCTCCAAGTATCCTTCTTAGTTTGCATCGTTCGAGTGGCGGCCAACCAGTTAATGGTCAACAGCAGACCGCTGATAACAAAGAACGTGACAGTGATTAGGGACCCTGAGACGAGCAGCGTGCCCGCGGCCGAGTGAAGCATCCGTTCGGGATCCTGTGGATTGCTAATCGCACTCTCGTAAATCACCCAGTTGGTGTGCGCAAAGATCACCAGGAACATGGCAAAGAACTTGAAGCAGTCTAGGAAGCGCAACTCGCGCCCGATCTTGCCACATGGCTCCTGGTTAAGGCGATACCAGTTGCGGGCCACCGAGAAGGTGAGCAGCACCTGCTGGGCGGTGCTCTTTGGCGGCGTCTTGTAGTGATCCCGCTCCTTGAGCATCTTGTCGTGGCGCCCCCGCTTTAGGTGGAGATCAACCAAGCTGCTCAGGCAGGTCAGAACCACCAGGGCGCCCAGAATTCCATAGAAGGTCAGGTTCCAGGCATCTGCGGATGGTCAAACTCTATTCGTTAACTTTGCTACGCATTTATTCACGCATTTAAATGATTTCATTTTACTTTAATGATAAAAAATTGATTAATGATAAGAGAATGATAATTAAAAAACCTGCCTTAGATAATAGAACCTAGTAATTTTCAACGCTACTTAGCTCTGAAATAGAATCAGACCAGAATGAATGAAACTTCAAGAGAATTAATTCATTCTTAAGTAATTGTTAACGCTGCTCAATTCTTAAGTCAATTAGTTAAACGACCTTTCACTGCACCCAGGAAGGCTATTGGAATCAAGGTATTCTTGTCATAATGATGTTATTGTTGTTTGGAATTAAATTAAATCTTTGCTGACTTGCACATTGATATCTAAGTTAATTTAATTGATAATATTCGTGTTGATATAAATCTGTAAAACTTACCATCTTCGACTTGGCGTCCCGCCTCGTTGCAATACTCCACCACGCTCTTGGCCATCACTCCAAATCCCTGACGCTGCAGCCTCCAATTAAGGCAGGCATTCGTTAGACGCTGATGCCGCTTTCGGCTTTCCGCTTCCATCGAGAACAAGTCCAGATACACGTTCACCTGTCCAAAGAGATTTAGCCGTGAGGGGATCATAAAATTAAACAAAAAAATACCAAAGCCCTTGGCCTTGAAAGAAATGCGTGTGATTTGATCGAATTGGATCGGATTTCGCTGCATATTTTCATCTGGGGGCCAACGCCTAAGTCAACTCAGCGCCACAAGCGCTTTGTGTAATCAGCCATCGTAAATGCATTTTGATGGCGACTGCATCAATGGCAGCGGCCACACGATGCCCAATCTCTCATCTCCAGCTAGCTGCCATTACCCCAGCTATCCCATGTTTAATCAGCGGATTTTCCGGCTGTAATTTATGCAATATTTATAGGTAATGAAGATGAAGATCAAGCGTTCGGCCATAGGCGTCGACAATGGGGGCTGAGTGTATTTATTACATTTTGGAATTCAATGTTGCCCTTGAAATTGTAAATTGAATTCAAAGGGAAACAAATAGGTATAATATTAATTAGGACTAACTCTTAGCTTGACTTAACTCTAAACTTAATAGACACTTTAGGAACCCCTTTTAAGCTAAGCCCCTGGTCCCTTAATCTTTAGCTCACGTTGAGTTCAAGTTGAATAAACTTTGGCGTTGTTATCACAGCTTCTGTGCCATTACCAGCGACGCCTTGGTTTTGAAATATATATCTTTGCCCATCAGAGTGTTTGCCGATTGAATTAAATCGATCGTTAGCTTGGGCTGAATCGATTCCAATGAGGTGACACCTCTAGATGGCCTTACCTTCGCATTTCCCGTCAGCAGACCGGCCTCTAGGGCCGCCAAGTCACTTTTATCCAAATCGGCCAGCGATGCCTCACACTCTCTCAGGCAGAGGCCAAAGTAGAGCTGGCTGTGATCAAGGTGATGACGATTGTACTGCGAAATCTCGGCAATGGCTCGCCAGGCGGCCACTGACTCATCCGGCTGCACTTCCGCCCGGACGAAGCAGTAAGTGGAGGCCTGTCCTTCATACTCCTGGAGGCAGCGATCATAGTCATCCAAGTCATATAGCGGAGGCATCTCGTAGAACTGCGTCACTGCAAGGGGAGAGGTAAAAGACAGTTCGAGAAACATCAGATGAATCAGCTCATTAAGTGGGAAAACTAGTTTCCAGTGGGCAGATCCTTTTTCTACAGAATAACCACAATCCCAGGGTTCAATGGCAGTTAATTCAAGTGAAAGGAAACACGTTTCCTCGGCCCGAACTCGAACTTGTTTTGCATTTATTTGCGGGCAGCATCTTCCTCAATTCTAAGTCGAGGGGAAAAAACCAAACGAGCTAATGTAAACAATGTAATTGTTCTGCCATTTTTTCACTGGTCAAGTGGATGGCAGGCAGCCTCAATCTCTTGTCAAACTCCAGACACTTTGGCTTATTTAATTTTATTGTCAAAATAAATGCTCCGTCACTGATGGTGTCTCGAGATGTTTTGTGTGCCTCCAATTTCGGAGGGGAACTTTTAGCGTGGATCACGCGAATGGGAGGAGCAGGTGCAGACAGATGAACGGGTAAAGCTGATGCCTAGCCCAACTGATCTTTAGTTATATCGATTGACAAGCATAGCATGTAATCTAAGCACGTTATATTTGCATAACGTAGGATTTGTTGCTTTTTAAAAGTGTTCAATTTCCGCATTTGCATTAGGCAATACGTAATATAACCTCCAGCGATTAAAAACGGTAATTGAGTGGTTTTTAATTCAAAATCCATAGCCTACATTCCCAAATAAACAAGCGAGAGAATTACAAATAAATAAATCATTCTTTCTACATTGTTCTTTTTGTTTTCTTAGAAAACAAATAAATAAATAAATGTTTTCCAAAAACTAAATATCTGAAACTAAAGAACTGTGTAAACTGACTTTTCCCAGAAGTATTTATCTTCTCCATTCTCTTGGTATCTCCAACACGAAACTTACTCATTGTTAGATCATTTTACCATAAAAATATCAATATTATCCAACAATTCATAGAATATTTTTATGGGCCCTAAAAATGCATTTTGCACGAAACATTAATCCTGTTTACTATTGGCTATTATCGATACTTACTGTTCAATTGGAAACATTGCGCAGCCGTTAAAATCGACGCCAAAAGCACCATGTGTAGCACCATCGTGGGATGTTGATGATAATGATGGATCCAATCGGCAACCGTAATGCACTCTCTAATTGATTGACTTTGAAAGACTCTTGGCACTTTCGTCACCCGACAACAGCAGAAATTGCCGTGGGCTCAATACCAATCAAATGCAACACTAACAATAAGAAGAAGCCGGAGTTTCATCAACACAACATCAACCGACGCGACACGAAATAAATGAAGTAAAACAAAGCAGATGCACGATGCACGCTGGATGCTCCGGTGACCAGACCCAGGGGCTGCTCTCCGGCCAATGCCAACGACGTTAGGAAATGCACTTGACTCCCGGTAGATAGATAGCTTTCGATGGCTGAACACCAATCCGAACCGATCCGCTTGCTACAACGTGCGAGCCGAGAATGAAGCCCGACCGGAGCAGATGTGTGTGGTTAAAGCCTCTGGAGCTCTGGATTTCCGCTGCTGCTGCCGTCGCTGCCGTCGATGCCGTCGATGCAGTTGTTCGGGCAGCGGCAGATGGTTTCAAAACTTTACCGGAGATGCGTTGGTTTCCGAAAAATAAAGCAAAACGACACAAAAGCCCCAATGCGTTGGAACATGTTCGATGCTGGTGGTTAGTAGTCGCCCACATGCAACTGATTTATGTTTTCATGTTGGCTTATGGCCAGTTTATCAGTTATTGGGCATGAACCTAGGGCCATCTGGGCCCTACGATGTTCTCTCTTTACTGGCAAAACGTGTTTCTAATCCACCTGGCCAATATGGATGTATATTTTCATTTTTGGACATCGAGTTCTAACTGAACAGCCTAAAATATGACTAAAACAAAATGCGAAATTAATTGGAGGTCACGTAGACCACACCATGTTGAACCCTCGGGCCCTTAATAATGGTATATCTAAACGAAAACACAAACGAATTTAGGTAAGACATGGTAAAGTTCTTTTATAAAAGGGAATATATCAAAAGACTCTGGCAACAAACCAGGTTTCCACTTACGGTAGCAAGCCAGAATGCGATTTATTATAAAAGATTTGCGTTGTAAGTGCTTAGTTGAAATGAAAGAGAAAATGCTTTTGAATGGAATTAGTTAGTCTACGAGTATCTCGGTAATAAGATTTAGTACTGAATATGATTTATTATAAAGTATTTTTGAAATTTGCATAAAACTATGTGGGATTGACGCAATAATTTAAACAAAACTGACCAGGTACAATATTCTTGTTATTTAATTACCTTGTTTGCTACTATAATAAGTGACATTTACAATAGGTAAACAAATAACACAAAGGGCTCTGACTTCCGAGAGCTGTATATTAATTAAAGCATTTTTATAAGATTATTCACATTAATAAGTTTATTGCCTAGTCACTATTAAGTGCAATAATAAAAAGCAGAAGTAGCAATATTTGTCACACCAGAATTTATTATAAAATGCGTCCAATATTTAACTCATTGAAAACAAAAACTATTTAGGGGAAATGTTAAGTTTCTTAAGTTCAGGAAGCTGAATTATAGTCTTAAATATTTGTAAATGTAAATTTGTTATAATTTTACTTTTGGCTTTAGATGCTGCGTCAGAAACGACTCCTTTAATGCATTGCAAGTCATAAGACTAAATTTATAATACCCTGCAAGGATATAAAAATAAAGCAAAGTCACAATTAAACGACAAAAACTCTAGAAACACAAGTTTTCTACAAGTCGAAGTCCTTGCTTCTCTCTAAACTATAACCAGAGACAACTATTACAGACAGATTTAAGTTTATTTTAAACATTTCCACAAGTTTATGCACATAAATTTACCTCTTTTCTCAAGTCGCTGCTTAATTGCAAAAATAGTAGTAGAAATTCTTGCAACTAAACGGTGACTTAACAAAAAAGAAAAAAATATTACAAACACTAATCTGTAATAAATTTTCGCTCTACGAATTAGATTTATTGCAATTTTCACTTTAAATTAAAAGCAGATAAGACACTCTTGTTTATTTTTAATCGGATTATAATATAAACATTTATAAACATAGTTAAGTGCATAGTAATTTACCTTTTCGAAAAAGTAAACAAAGCCAAGTCATTGTTACATTGCAATTTTATTAGCTTTAGATAGGGATTTAAGATTATGATGTATCGCATGAAAGGTTTATGATGTGAGATTATACCTTTATCGGGTATAGTTAGTTTCTCTATTTAATATTCTAATAACTCTTTGAACTTTACTTTATATTTCCTTCATCTTGCAGACAACTTCTTGGCCTGATTCACCTTTCCCAGGCACGTGCCCGCCTGGATTTGTCGCACGTGGTAAATTCACAGCATGTGCGTGATGTGATCGCCCTGCTCACGGAGAGTATCACCCAGACCAGCCTCAAGGTAGGTGGCGACCTAAGGCTCGGACCTAGCGGATCTGGAGCTAGAGGAGGCGTCATCGGCGGCGGAGGAGGAGGAGGTGGGAAAGGCGCTCAACTGCGCAATTTTTTGCAAATGTTGCAACGACGTTCGGCGGCGTTGGGTCGGCGAATCTTTGAGTTCGAGGAGCTCAAGGAGATCGGAGCGCGGGCTGGCATCTTGACGGGCATCAGTCAGTTGGTGGAGACGGCCAACATGGGCGGCTATTTGCTCATGAAGGGCGCAAACATGTACGAAGTGGTTCCGGACTGAGCGAAAAACTATACAAATGCCAGAGTCAATATTTGACGCGTCTGCGATTGTTTTTGTTTTTTTGTTGTTAACTATTAGTTAAGTGGCTCATCAAGTACATTGCTCTAATGAGGCAATATGTCCAGACCTAATCTAAGAAATACTGTTACAGGGATTCATTATTGTTAAGTTGAAAATCCCTTATTCATTTCCATTTCCGTTTTATTAGTATTTTTATAGAATAAAGCATACTTTTGGGAGCTTACTAAATATAAAGTGTGTCATTACACTAAGCTACAAAAGCATACATATTTACCATATAAGTTCCTAAAAATGTTGTCGAAATCGTAACTTTCCTCTCGATATATATTTCCTATATACTAAATTTAAACCTTTATAAATAATGTTGTGTAAAATCACCAATATGAAAAGAACATCAGCCTTGATTGGTTTCCATTTAATACTTTATTTTCTTGTATTCATAAATTTTTAAAAGTAATACAATTCTTTATAAATAAATACACAAATCCTTTCTAACCATCGCTGCTTTCATTTCCTACCTTTCGGGATTTCTAAAGTTTTGTCTTTGTTGCCTTGAATGTTTCTGTCTGTTTCCGTAGTCAGCAGTAGTAGTAACTATTTGACCCTCGTATACGAAGATTTATATTCCAGAGAGTTGAGATGGGGGGGCTTAGGTCTAAGTGGGGCTATTTAATATATTTCTATATATACCGTGCCTGGAAATCCTATTCGACTATGTACAATATTGCTAGTGAATGTAATGTAATATTTGGCTTATACTTTTCCTACCCCACTACTACGTTTGCTCATTTAAAACTTAAGCCTATTTAAGGGTTAGGATCGGTGTTAGAGCGAATGAGATATATAAGATGTATGAGCCAATTTTGCAATAGCTTTTAGGCTAATCAGTCTAAAAAAATCGATGCGAACGCATAACGCGCAAACGAGAACGAAAATTTGTCTAACTTGCTGTCTAAATATTTCAATCTAAAATAATCAAGCTAATCCTTAGGCTAGGCGCTGCATCATCGCTTCCATCGTGTCGAGTTCAAGATCATTATTGCACAGGTTTAGGTAAATATAATATGAAACTGGGTGAGATGTGTGCCCTGGGCAGTCGTCAAGTGTGTCAAGGTGTCTTTGGGCATTGAATGCATAAAGTCAGGCTGCCAAGATGGCTTGTCTTTCTGTATGCTTGGGTGGGTGGGTAATAATGATGTTAGAATTCAAATTATAAATCAAAGGATGTGCAAGGAATTCATCTCTTTCTCTATCCTTATCTTTTCAGATTAATTAAACAAACAAATACAACAAATACCCACCCTATTCTATGTATATGTCGTGTGCTTTGTACTTTTAAAACTGTTGCAGACAGACCGTAGTAGACGTGACGAGAACTAAATAAAGCTAAGAACTTTCCAACTTACAACTAATAAATTAGAGCTAAGCCACAAATAAATACAATAAATATTTCAGCTAAATATGCCTTCGTGATTGCCGCCTCACACCTCCGCCCTGAATGTGAGGTTGAAGGTGCGCAGCTCCATCGGCTCCAGAGTGACCTCGGCCAAGGAGCGTATGCGCAGGGCATCCTTGGGCGGTTTCTTCTCCATCCCCGTCAGACTGGTGGCCTCGATGTTGTGCAGACTCAGCCGACCCAGCTGCACATTGCCCAATCCCTGACTGGAAAGCGGGCATACGGCCTGCATACCCAACTCCCTGCCAGCGCTCACGCCGCAATCGAAGCCCTGACGGTGCAGCACCAGCAACGCTGAGGCGGACGGAAACAGCTGCAGCTCGGGATCGGAGAGGGTACGCAGGGTGGTCAGGTGCACGTCGCAGGGCAGCGCTCCCTTCGGCAGAAGCCTGACCAAAGGCAGCAGCGCCGCGGCCAGTTCCGGCTGTTCCAGGTTACTCAAAAAGTAAAGATTTGGCGGGTAGCGCAAAGTGTTGGCCAGATGCTGGGCCTGTTGGCTGAGCACCTTGTAGCTGGGCGGCTGGATAGGTTGCTGACCGCCTGGCAAGTCCTCCACCAGGAGCCAGAACTTATGTCGCGTCAGACGGCTATCCACGACGCCCTCTCCCATGCCACGATAGTCGTCGTACAGCGTCCGCCGGTCCAGCATAACCTCCAGCTGGCCGGGCTCATAGCTGGCCGCACCCTGGGCATGAGTGGTTAACAAGGTAAGCCGGAGACGAGAATCCTGAATGAAGGCGCCCGAGGTTATGGGGAAGTAGTTGCCCTCGATGCCAATGGCGGGCACTTTGATGCGTCTACAAAAAGGGGGAAATAATGGATAACCTTGGATTCAATTTCCTTCCGCGGATTGCTTGACTTACTCATGATACTGGAAACCGTTCTGATCGCTGTAGAAGATCGGCAGCTCGGGCATGGGTCCCGTCTCCGCCGGCTCCTTGAGGGGATCACGCTGCATGGGCGCTTGAGCAATATTGTCTATGTTGGTGATCAGTCGCATGAAAAGCTCCGTCTCCCGGTTCTTTGGCGGTGGTTCAAAGTCAATGTCGTTCTCCACATATATAGCAGCATCGAGATGGGTCCTTGTGTTGAAGATGCGCACTGTGTGGGCCAGGAAGGGGCCATAGATGACGGTGACGTCGCTGGCAATCGGTCCCGAGGTGATGATAATGCGCACGTCTGTATAGCCCTCGAGCACATCCTTTTCGGCCTCGCTCTGCTCGGGATCTGTCTTAAACAGATACGCACCCGAGTGGAACTGGGCACTGCGGTAGGCGGCGAACTTGATGTTGCACTGCATCGGCTTGAGAAGCTCCTTTTTCTGGTTCTTGCGCGTAATGGTCTTAAGAAAGCCGCTCTTCTCGTCGAACAGCAGGCGCATGTGCGGATTCTCCAGTTGGATGTCTCCTGGAAATGGGGAAATACTTCAGTAGTTTTTTAATTCAAGTTAAAAGTTAAGCTCAACTTACCCGCTGGCTTGGCACGCGCCTCAAAAACTGCAGCTGGAGAGGCTTCAACTTCCTCCGGTGGACTAGAGCCTGGCGATGCCGCTGCCGCTCGCTCCGTGCACTCATCACAGTAGATGGTCGCAATGTTCCGCTTGTAGTTGACCTCATCGACCAGAACGCGATACGTGCTGAGGGACAGCGGCTCCAGCTCGGCCACAAACATCACCTCGAATTGGCGGGTCGAGGTGCGAATTCGCCCCATCGTTCCGGTGACGGATGTGCCTATTTCCTGCTCGTAGGACTCGGTGATGTTCCACACCGGATTGATCTGGATGTGACTTAGCTCCACGCCCTTCTCGTTGAGAATTTTAACATTGGGATGCTGCACTCGCAGGGTCACGATCTCGACGCGCTTCTGTGCTAAGGAGTTGTAGAGCACAAAGCTTCCCACAGATCCGGTAGAAGCTGCACCACCCGCTCCAGTTCCTCCTCCCGCCGAAGCTGTAGGCGTGGACTCATCTCCGCTGACCATCTGGATGGGCATCTTTCGTGGCAGCTTATTGAAGTTATCACGCTCAAATTCACTCAGCACGAAGCCATGGTGGTGCGGCTGGCCCTTCTGCAGTAGCAGCTCCAGGCAGGATTCCTGCATCTTTACCATGTTCTGGGTGCTCTCGAACAGACGCATGGCGTAGTCCCGCATCACCGCAGCCTTGGAGGTTCCAGTGATGGCATCGTGGTGCTGGAAGAGCCCCAGATTACGCCTGGCATTGATGATAAGCTCGTAGTTCTTCTCGTAGATCTTAATGGCATTCTCCCGCTTCGCCTGGCGAGCGGTGTTGTAGGCCAGCGTAAAGAGAATCTCAGCGGAACGCAGGTGGTGCTCCAACTCGGAGCTCAATAACTTGTAAAAGGGACGTGTAGTGAAGTATCCCGACCAATATGCCGGCCTGCCCTCCGAGAAAATGTCCGAATAAACGAAGAAGTCGCCCTTGAAGCTCGGGAAACCGGGACTCTGCTCCTTCATGCGCTCCTTGATGGCCTCGAAGTAATCACTCGGCGTGCCGAAGCGGATATCAGCGTTGTACAGCCTCCGATTGGCCATGATGTGATCTATCAGCTTCTTGTAGTTCTGATACTGCTGGTCCACTTCGCGCTCCTTGTTGTACCGGAAATCATCGCCCACCGGAATAAGGGCCACGTTGTGCGGGAAGAGCGACGCAGTCCGTGCGTACTGCTCCAGCAGGAGCTGTGCCTTTGCTTCCAGATTGTCGTCTGTTATGAATTGTGCCTTTACGGAGTACTCCGTGTACTCGCCGGGGATCTTGCGGAAGTCAAAGTTCAGGCAGATGAATGGATGCGGTCCGCACGATCCCTTGATCGAGTATATATCGAAGGGCATGTTGTGAGTGAGCAGGCTGCCGGTTTCACTGGACTTTCCGCTTTTGCTCCGCCAATAGGGCTTCCAGATGAAGTCCCCTGACTGCTGGCGGGCGAACCACTGCTTCCAAGCGTAATGTATCCGCTGGATGATGGCGCCTTCGAAGTTCGCTCCAGAAAGCAGGTACGGCACCGTGCTACCATGGCCAAAGGGGTCAATGGACCAGCCCACTTTCGGAGTAACGTTCAGGTTGTTCTTTAGCCACTGATGGCCCTCGATTAACTGATCCAACATGGGATAAACGTGGACATTTGCCTCATCTGTCATTACCCAGCCGCCGGTGGTAATTTCGATGCGACCCGAGTCGATAAGTCGCTTCAGAGCTCGCTGCTTGGTGGGATGTGCCTGGTCCCACCACAGCTGCAGGAAACTTATCTCCGACCAGATGAACGTCATGTCCGTGTACTCCTGCATTTTGGTCACCAGCAGGTTGAGGATCTGGCGCGAGTCCGACTGGAAGTAGTTGGTAAAAGTCTTCAGCCAGCCAGGATCATTGTGGGAGTGCGGCACCACGATTATCTTCAGCGGGGGCCGCTGTTTGTCCTTCTTCTGCGCGTCAAAACGCTCCTCAAAGCCACGATCCCAGTACTCCTTTGAGCGCATCCACTCTGGCTGGAAATCGAACTTGCTGTGCTCCTGGTTGGCCGTTATGTTTGTGTTACTTTCGATCAGCTCGTAGCACTTGTCACCCCACTGGCTGTTGGCGTACTGCTGCTCCTCGGACGGCGGTTCTGCAGTTACTTCTGCCTGCTCCTGGAATTTCTTTTGGTTTGAGATGACGGCCGCATGCAGCTTCTGTAGCTGCTGTTGGTGGATGATCGAGGAGGAGCCTCCGCCCACGCTAAACCCGGTAAGGCCATTGAGAGGCGATCCCCGCAACGCTGCCGTGGGAACTCCCGTCTCGGAAACAGGCGCCGGATTGGGCTGGCCAATGGAGATGTAGTAGAGGCAGAGCAGGATAGTCACAAACGCAGACAGCAGGCCAATACAGCGCGCTGATCCGCGGCGAAAGAGCTTAAACGACATCCTGTAGAGTTGACTGCAATTCTTTGTCCCCGGCTGGGATTCCAAGGGAAGATCTCGCTGCTGAGCTTCCGCGGTCTGGCTCGGAGTTTGTTCTACATCTGTAAAATAGAATAAATAAACGTTAGAAATTTATATATATTGCTTAAAACCAGTTAATATGCTTTAAAAATATAGTTTAAACTTCAGTTACCAAGAAGCAGCCAAAAAAAATCATAGTTAACAAAGCGGATCTGCCTCCCCTTCCCCAATTCCTAGCTTAATCCTCCCTCTGATTCAGCACTAATCCTGTCTGGGCTGTCCTTACCACAAGAGTGTTTGAATATTTCATGTGGACGAGAGGACAGGCAGTTTTGTGAAGAATTTAATTAAACCATAACAGGGACCGGGGGAGAGCCATAAGCCTGGGGCCTGGTGTAAGGAATGCATAAATGCTGGCGAAACATTTGTGTGTTGTTGAGAACAAGGCAGTGTCTAGGTGCTGCGACTTGTCTTTCGATAAGAAATTTTGTAAAGTCTCTTTAAACGAGAGCTTTGGAGAGATTAAACAATCAGGAAATTGAACGTAGTTTCCCTAAAGTCCAAAGTTCAGATCTCTAACTACGTCAGCACATCAGAAATACCCGCACGAGCATGTGAAGCCGGCAAGTCAAACTAACCAACCGAGCTCTGCCAACTGAAAACTCAATCAAAAACTCTTCACATGTTCACAGAACTTTTTGCAATGATGAAATTATTGCATAGTTTGGCATAAACTTTTACCCCAATGCTGGTGTTTTATCCCCCCTTCCTCCTTCTGCGGCAGAGCTCTGCGGACAAATAAATTAATAGTCTACAAACAACAAAAAAATGTGTGGAATATGCGCAGGCAAACACACAAAAACAAAAGAGAAAAACTACAGCGAGCCAAGTTAAGAGCCCGGTAAAAACAAATGAACAATTTCCATTGCTGCACATGATTTATTCACCTCGGTTTGCCTCTGCCATAATTTAGGTTTTTATTTCTGTTCGACACGCAGAGAAAACACCATCATATCACCGGCTATGGCTATATAAGGCTACATTAAATTTAATTAAGATTTAAAAGGCATTTAAGGTCCGACGAGCAGCCAGCACCAGCAGCAGCATCGTTCAGCTCGATTCAAATGTTTCAATTAGCCAAAGGGGTAGCACCGGGCGGAGGGAGCTGCTCCACAGCTTAGCTCGTATGCTAATCAGCGGACATTAAGTGATGTTGCCACAAGCCACCGCCACCACCTGTCACCGGACGGAAGAGAACAAGCTGGAAAATGCAAAACACTTGGCGCTATCCCATTCCCATGCTCCTATGGTAATTTAAACGTTTCCCTCTGTCCCAAGAGACCCATTTATTTCTCCTTTTTTTCTTTGCTCCACAGAGAAATGTGCAGAGCGTGCGGAAAAACTGAGAGCTGAGAAACCACCAGGTCTTAAAGCTCCATACAAATGCTCAAAGTGGGACAGCAAATGAAAAAAATATGAAGGGGAGACACCACAAGGCATTTAGAGATCTCTGATTCTCAGGAAGTTCTTTCTCTCCCCCTCAAGAGCAAAGTTTCCTTCAATTATTTCAATTAGCCCAATATTTTCACTTCCTTCCGACCACCAGCGGGACCTGATAACTTCCTGCAAAAGGAAAACTGAGAAAGTCAAACGTCAACTGCTATGGGCGTCTTGTCCATGACTCCTTTCAAGCATTTTGCTAGCCCATAAATATCTTGAATATGAACAAAGAGAAAAGAAAGAGGAAAAAAGAAGGATGTTTCAAAGTCTTTCACTAAGTAAAACATAAAATATATTACTATTAATTGGGAGCAAAATAAGGTTTATTTTCCTGAAGAACAACTCTCAAAAGCATGACTCAAATATTTTAACTTGTTATGACTTTATCTGCTGATTTTAAGAAAATGATTCAGTTTTCCCCTGTGTAGTTAGTTGAGAGATAGATTGAGATAGCCCAAGCGATTCGTGCTGCTGTCATCACGAATGTTGTCAAGAGTTTTCTGGCAAATTTGATTCCATTGCAAATTGCACTCTGTCAACCTTTTTGTATGCCCTGAATAGATGACAACCTTCATCTGGGAGTCAACACGTAGCATCCTTCGGTTCCTTTTGACATGTTATCCTTTTGCATTCACTTTCCTCCTTCTACACAATATAACTTTGGGTTGGAAATTGTTTTTTTTTTTATTGTTCTTGTTGTTGTTTCCCTCTCAGTTAGCTCCTAGCTTCCTGTGCTGATTGTGAGTGTGCGTGTTTGTCTGCTTTTTTTTTGTGAGTCGCTACACATCCAGAGGGAGAGGAAACCCAACTCAAAAAGTCAGTTTTTCCGCCACCCTGTGCCAACTACTCCGCCCTGGGTCCTTCATCACCGACTTTGCCTTTCGCACTGCCGATTTCCTTGCTCCTTTGTGCCTCTTAGCCCCCACACGGTCCTTAACCCCTTGACGCCTCCTGTGATGGAGCTTAATTTTGTTCAGAGTTGCAACACGAAGAGCCATGTGAGTATGCTCAATGCAAATGGATATCTTTGCTACCGTTTTGTGTAAGGATTCTTGGGTATTTCAATTGGAATAATAGGTAGTTTTGCAACTAAATAATTTTAAACTATAAGAGTAGGAACGTAGTAAGAGAACATTTGGCTAGAACAAGTTTGTAGACTCGTTCTCTACTAGGAAGGACAGTAATTTCTGACATTTTTATATTCACTGACCAACCTCAAAATTTATGATGTTTTAAGTTAGAATTTTTTAGCATTTATTTTGTATTCATTTTCAGATGCCACACATCTTAACTACGATTTACAATTTAAATAATATAAATTGTATATATTTACTATAATAAAAAATAAACCTCAAACTAATAGGTATTTAAAAGTCCCAACTCTTTTTAAACTGTCTTAAAATTGGTTGCTCTGATGTATTGATTGGTTTGGTTGCCTTTCTTTGTGGTACAGACCAATTTTTTAGTTTTGTATATGAACAACTTTTTGGAAAGCACTCCCGGTGAATCAATTGTATACTTTGTTGTTTGCTGTTCCCCCTTTTGGGTGGGTGGTGGGTGCACTCAGAAGTTTTGTATGGCTGTTATTCAATTTCATAATACTTTTCCAATGCAATTTTAGTTTAGAAACTTTCAAACTAAAGCCAAAGGGAAACAAATTTGGCACTTTATTGTTCGCCATTGTATTTACAGGAGAATTACAACCGTTGCCATTGCGACACCTTTAAATTGTAACAAAACGAATGTAATTTCCCTTAATTAAAAGTTTTTAGCAAAAAGTTAATTGAAAGTCATTCCAGTCACCTAAGGAGGCTGAAAAGGCGGCCGAAACGAAAGAAACTAAAAGCAGAAGGCAAAAGTGTGAACGTAAATTCAGTTCAAAACTGGTGAGCGCTGGAAGGGCAAAACCAACAAGAGCCAGAACAATGGTTTGCATAAATGGCACGGAAATTGCAGCTGCAGCTGAAGGCGAAACGAAAACCCTTTACTCAACTTCTCGGCCCCACGCCAAACTTAAAACTAAAAACGGTTAAAAAACTGTTTTCTTAGCGGCAAACGCAGAAAGTTGTTCTCCCTCCTTAAACAACAAAATTGCCGACAAAAAACACACAGAAATTTCAACTCTGACTTTGGACTTTGGGAGTGGTCTGGCAGCTGGAGTTTAGAGTGCCTCCACTGGCCAATCCGAAAAAGGGAACTCTGTCGGGGGCAGAGAGTTTAGCAAGGTCCCGGAACTCGACAAAGAGTTCATGCCTTTTTAATTAAAGAAACTAGCGTTGCACCAAAGCCCCCTGAAAGAGGGGGAGATCGCGGAAAGAGCTGGTAAAAGGGCCAGGGAAGAACCAGTTATGGCAATTTTCCGGGGCAGATGAGCATGAGTAATGCGGCGGTTAAGCCGCCAGTGGAGCGTGTGGGTTTGGCATGTGCCCACCATGTATAATCGCAGCAGACACAAAAAACCAAATAGCTTGGGCCCATCCGGGCCATCCAAGAGCTATGCTAGTGGGCCATTAGCATAGTCAGCGGAGCAACAACAACCAACAACCAAGAAGAGGCCTAGGAATTATGGCAATCATCGGGGCGGGGGCGTATGGCAATTACCAGAGGAAGTTGTCAAGATCTGGCCAAAGATGTGCCAGAATACTGATTATAATAATCAAGATTGCTCCACTTTTTCTTCCCCTACATTTTTTATAATTTCTTTTAAAGCAGCACAAGTAGCTATAAATTAGAATTCAACTTTGCATATAATTATTTTCAACATTACCAAGTTTCTATTTAAATGAAAATAACCAATTACAAAAGCTACTTATAATAAGAATAATAACAATAATGCATACATTATTTACTCAAACTAGTTTAAAATGTAATTATTACTTTATTCCAGTGTAATAATTTATTTTATGTCTATTGTACAGACAGATATTACATCTCAATTTCCGTCCCAAGGCATTAGCACCTGAAATAGTACCTCATTAAAAATAAATCTTTGCTTTCCTCCCAAGATTTATGCCTTTTTTACTGAGTGTTTTTACAATGTCTAGAACAAAGTAACCCCTCCCATCACACCTTTCCTGCGACTCACTCACCCACCCACCCACTCCACACAGCCGCAATTGAGTAAATGGAGCCAAAACAAAACCTCGGAAAAAAGAACTGCTCCGGGGCTGCACTAAGCCCCATGTCAATGGCAGACCAACGAAGCGAACTGTCGGGGGGGGGGAATACCCCTGAAACCGAGAGCCGTTAGACAAGAGGAACTTTCCAGCTAGCCCGGCGAATTCACAGTTACTCACTTATGCAGCGACGCCAAACGTGACATATGGACAAGCAAAACAAAAAAAAATAAGATAAATAAAGAGGGTTCAGGAATCGAAGCTTTGAAGAATACCCTTTCTTAAGGATCTTTAATAAAAAAGTATTTTTAAAAATGGAAACAATTTTACTAGACAAGTTAAGTAATTTAGTTTAGAAAACTCTACATACATTCCAAAGCCTTTTAGTTGCAACATGTTAAATTATTAAAATATTTAAAAAATTTTTATAAAAATATACCCATCAACTTTACAAGCCTTTCCTC